AAGAGGAAACCAGACCAGAAACCAACGACCGGTGATAAGTTTTTCATTACTATTTACGAACTTTATTCAATTCATTTCGAATATTTCTTCCAAATTAATTATTTGTTATGGAAGGCGATGTATCATAGATCATTTTTTGATAGTCACCTTTAAGTCTCAATGGTGACACGACAGGTACCCTTACGAGGGGAGAGTATCAACCCTTGGCATCGGTAAACCCTTGTTGCAACCGGGGTAGGCGCCTGATGGGTTAGGTATATACAGTGTTTCTCATTTAGGAGAAAATTGTTGGCTATCTGTTCCGCTCATTTTTTGAGCAATAGAAGAATATGTCGCGTTTCAGTAACGGAATTTGAAAAAGTTTCCATCAATATTTCAGTTTCTTATTCCATGTAACTTTCATGATTTCAAAACTTGATGTATTTGGAATTCGAGATATTAATACCAACTATGTTTTAGATCAACAAAGCGAAGTGTAATTGATCGACGAAAAAATTGCACAAAAGAGGAAAGTTCAAATCTCAATATATTTAGAATTCGAGATATTGATACCAACTATGTTTTAGATCAACGAAGCGACGTGTTATTTATCGACGGAAAAAATGCACAAAAGAGGGAACCAGACCAGAAACCAACGACCGGTGATAAGTTTTTCATTACTATTTACGAACTTTATTCAATTCATTTCGAATATTTCTTCCAAATTAATTATTTGTTATGGAAGGCGATGTATCATAGATCATTTTTTGATAGTCACCTTTAAGTCTCAATGGTGACACGACAGGTACCCTTACGAGGGGAGAGTATCAACCCTTGGCATCGGTAAACCCTCGTTGCAACCGGGGTAGGCGCCTGATGGGTTAGGTATATACAGTGTTTCTCATTTAGGAGAAAATTGTTGGCTATCTGTTCCGCTCATTTTTTGAGCAATAGAAGAATATGTCGCGTTTCAGTAACGGAATTTGAAAAAGTTTCCATCAATATTTCAGTTTCTTATTCCATGTAACTTTCATGATTTCAAAACTTGATGTATTTGGAATTCGAGATATTAATACCAACTATGTTTTAGATCAACAAAGCGAAGTGTAATTGATCGACGAAAAAATTGCACAAAAGAGGAAAGTTCAAATCTCAATATATTTAGAATTCGAGATATTGATACCAACTATGTTTTAGATCAACGAAGCGACGTGTTATTTATCGACGGAAAAAATGCACAAAAGAGGGAACCAGACCAGAAACCAACGACCGGTGATAAGTTTTTCATTACTATTTACGAACTTTATTCAATTCATTTCGAATATTTCTTCCAAATTAATTATTTGTTATGGAAGGCGATGTATCATAGATCATTTTTTGATAGTCACCTTTAAGTCTCAATGGTGACACGACAGGTACCCTTACGAGGGGAGAGTATCAACCCTTGGCATCGGTAAACCCTCGTTGCAACCGGGGTAGGCGCCTGATGGGTTAGGTATATACAGTGTTTCTCATTTAGGAGAAAATTGTTGGCTATCTGTTCCGCTCATTTTTTGAGCAATAGAAGAATATGTCGCGTTTCAGTAACGGAATTTGAAAAAGTTTCCATCAATATTTCAGTTTCTTATTCCATGTAACTTTCATGATTTCAAAACTTGATGTATTTGGAATTCGAGATATTAATACCAACTATGTTTTAGATCAACAAAGCGAAGTGTAATTGATCGACGAAAAAATTGCACAAAAGAGGAAAGTTCAAATCTCAATATATTTAGAATTCGAGATATTGATACCAACTATGTTTTAGATCAACGAAGCGACGTGTTATTTATCGACGGAAAAAATGCACAAAAGAGGGAACCAGACCAGAAACTAACGACCAGTGATAAGTTTTTCATTACTATTCACGAATTTCGATCAATTCATTTCATTCCGAATATTTCTTCCAAATTATATATTTAGGGGTAGGTTCCTGATGGGATTTCATGTTCACTAGTATACATTTTTTGTATGAAATAGCATTTGTCTCAGAAGGTAACCATATAATTTCTCTTCCGTGATAACCTATTGAGCCGTGACCGCCCCCCCTCAAACATCGTCTGGATCCGCCTCTGGGATAGGAGCATTTCTTCCACCAACTTTTTTTTGTACAATATTTGGCGGATCGACCAGGAAATATGAAAAAAATCACAATTTTCACTCAAAAATGATTCTTTTGTTTGTTTTCGATAGCACTAGCAAATGGTGCTTTTTTTATTATAATAGGGTATATGTATACCTACCAAATTTTCCAAACAATTTTCTTTTAATAGAGAATAAACCCTTTTTTCAACATCTACTCGTGATGTTTGAATCAAAATATGAGAGGAACAATAAGAAGAATAATTCGAAAAATATTATGGTAGTCTATCAATAAAAAGTGCTATTTTAATCATGCAGACATTCAAAATCGATTTTTCTCGAAGATGGTGAGTGCTATTGAAACTTTTCATCTTCAGGTGAAAACGATATTTTCACATTTCCTAGTCAAACCACCAAAAATTGCATAGAAAAAAAAGTTGGGGAAAGAAATGTTCCTAGCCCCACCTACTTCCCACGCCTCTGATCAAAATTTCGGAAAATTCTCAACATCTCCAAATCGGGCATGAAAAGTAACAAACATGTACAAAATGTCGTTATCTGAACACAGGGGTTTTCGAGAATATTTACACAAAACCACCCAGGAGGGCATTTCTGGGGCTCATGTTTATATGAACCTGGACCAGGACACCCTGTATATCAATCAGATTTTGTGCACCAAATGAAATAAGTATAACTACGACACAACATCTTTATTACGGATACAGTACAAAAGTAAAAAACTCGTGAAAAAAATTAATAAAAACTAATCCAAATATCAACCCTTGTAATTTCTGCGTTTGAACTCTTTTTCGAACTCCCCGTCATCAGCGTCCGCCAACATAGCAATTTTCTTGATCATGTTCTTGGTTCTATCAGTCAGAAAATTGTCCACCTGCCCCAAAATGTTGACCAGCTGTATCATCTTCTCGAAATTCTTGTTTATCTGTTCAGCTTTGACCAGCTCGTCCTCCTTAGCTAGCACTTGCTTTCTCAGGGATTCGATCAGCTGGTAGGGCGTTTGGGCGTTTTTCAATTCTTCCAAGTTGAAGGGATCCGCTTTTCTGGTGATCAGGTTGGTAGCTAGATCACAATTCACGAAGGACCAGACCTAAAAAAACAAATAGAGCGTTATTTATTATTGAAAGAGGTCCCAGACATTAGTCTTGAATATTCAGGGTGTTTTCCAAATTGGGGCAATAAATAAAATGAGGTGTTCTATGAAACATAATATCACGATAAATAGGTGACAAAAAACATATTTTCTATTATTGAACGTCCGAACAACATTGCAGAAGTCATTGATACTTATGGTACTATTTGTGATCTCGCCGGAAGCAAACGCTTTTGATTTACAAAAGTTTTTAGGCCAACATTTTATTGCATAAATGAATTGTTTTATTTCGTTTTGATTTTTCGTCATCCATCATCTATTTCATTTTATCGCTCCAATTTCGAAAACACCCTGTATATAGTTAGTGAGAATTTTCACAATTCATAACATTATTATTAGAAATGAGGTGTCTGTTGTGGAAGTTAGGCTCTGAAATCTGAATTATTTGAAAATAGTGTATTTTTTTCCAAAAATTATCTCTTGAAGTTGACGTTCCACTGACAGACACAATAAAGAAAAGATGAAGATGTAGGTGTATAGGGATGTCTCAGAACAACGTACAATACAATACAATACAATACAACGTCAGGAAATGAAGATTTTTTTCGATAATTACCTATATATCTTTCGGAAAAAATTACAAAAACAATATATGGTGGGTCAAGAAAATTTCAAGAAAATCATCTAATTGAACATTATCAAAACATGTTTCTAATAATTATTATAAAATGTCGATAAAACAGTACATCAGTTTCCTATTTTTACACGATGTTATTAAAAAAGAAACTTATTATCCACTTCAAAAGGTAAATTTGCAATTTGCAAGTGGATGAACTTTATTTATTTCGAGTCGGTAGCAGAAAATAATTTTTTCTCCAAATGACATATTGAAAGTGGATTTTTAATGACACTTAACAGGCAGAAAAGGTGTATTGCCTAGGTTGAAAAAGTTTGTCGCTATATGCAAACGTTCCAAAAGTAGGTAATTTGAATCAAATTGGTAATCAAAATTGACAATGACTTTGGGTGAACAAAAATAAATGATGGGTTATTTGGACTTGCGTGAAATTGAAAAGAATTTGGAGAAAAAATTATATGTTTCACATGGCAGAAGAGAAGATGTAATGCCTTGGCTGGTTTCCTAGCCTCGGCTACGCGTAGGCTATGAAACGCCAGCCGCGGCATTGAATCTTGTACTTTTCTGCCTAGTAAAACAAATAACTAAATAGTTCATGAAAATTAATCACTATATTCGATTGATCAAAATTTATAAAGAATAAAAATAAATATATATTCATCGTACTTACCCCAATTCCAATGAAGATTTGGAGAACTAATTTCTTGCTAGACATCGCGTGCACTCTCTGTATACAATTCAACGTGAAATACCGTATTTGGATCATTTTAGAACATCGAACTTTTCTACCGACGATTTTTGTTTACGAAGCATTTTGGTGCATATCTATAGCTGACATCGCAAATTTAGTAAGTGGGTTAGTAAATAATGAAAATTTTCATGTACAGGATGAATTCCTCGAACCGGCAATAGAAATATGAATTTGAATTCCAAAATTTACTACCATCGTTCAACGATACTCGGTATATATTTTTCGAATTCCGACCCTGTATTTTGGATAGCAATCTGCCGATGTCAATTCCGTCAATTCATTCAAACTGGCAAAAAATAATTTCTATGGATCTGTGGATCATAGCTATGACGCCTTTATGACACTCCAATTGACACTCACGGTTGATTTGATTGAGGGCGAAACTGACAGCTGATAGTTAAAAACAAAATAGAGATGGGCACACCGACAAAAAACATCGATATTGGCTTGCATGGATAATATTCATACTGATGTTCCAAAACGAGTGGAAAGAAACTTATTCATGGTCTCTGGGCCTTCGTTTGTGTTGCTAAACTTGCTAAAGTTGATTTTTCTGCCACAGTTGTCTCTGTTCATGGCATGATGTAAACAGAGAGTCATAGAAAAAAATCAAGTTTGGCAGGTAGAGCAAACACAAACCTGCACAAACGAACAGGCCTTCTATTTCATTGAGGAATATTATCATAATTCAAATATTGAGAATAATGGCGAGTTCACATGCCAGCTTATGCCTACAGCAGAAAGCTTTAATAAAACGGGCGCACTGTTCACATGAGAAAGTTGGAAAAGTGACAGTGACTGCCACATATTTGGTTAAATTTCAGATGTACGTCCTCCAGAAACCACATTTATCACATTTTTAGGAGTGTTTTTCCAGTACTGTTTTCCACACTGCATAATATGATGATATAGCACCAATATGTATTCATTTTGTCAATATTTGTGTGGTCCTGTCAAACGATCTGGGCTTTTTTTCGCAAAAGTCGGACTGAAGCCGACTTTCTAGCTTATGACCTCGATAAGCGCTTTCTGACGAATCGGCCAATGAGATGAGGATACGCTGTAAGTCAAAAGGCGAAAAGCCAGCATGTGAACGCGCCATAAGAAGATAAATGTTTTCAAAAAATATAATTTCCCTGTTTTTGGAGTTATTATCGATATCTGATAAATATCGATATATTATGCGCCAATCTCTAGTCTAGAAGGGAGGAAAATGAAAATAATCAAAAATCAAAATACTAAATCTCAAGAAACTGAAAAATAAGTGCAGTGTATCTATGAATAATAATTAAAAAATAATAAAGCCAATAAATAACTTTTAGTCATTAATTCAAATCGAGTTTGAAATTGCTGACCATGGTTAGTCTAGAAGATGAGGATAAAGGAATAGAAGGAAATTGAGAACCAATTAGTAATAAATGTATAAATACAGGTGATATAAATATGTTGAGGAAAAAGTTATTTGGCAACCCGTTTGCTGATATAGCACTCAAAGAAAATACGAGAACAGAAGAGGACCAAAGCAACCTTCTAGACTTATCATTAGAAAATTGCTGCCCAAGTGATGTCTCCAAATATTTCCCTAATATAATACAAACAGTACCTTCATTTGGCATTGCAGACCATATAATACAGTTGCAGCAACAACTAAACAATAATTTGAGAACATTAGAATTCAGAACACCACCTATACAGTATGTTTATAACCCCTTGGAATATGCTTCAGACCCTAACGAAAGATTCACCAGAAAATACTGTACCACAAGAAAAAAATTACTATTTGTAGGTATGAATCCAGGGCCCTTTGGAATGTGCCAAACTGGAGTACCCTTTGGTGACCCCAAATGGGTTATAGAATGGTTGAAAATAAATGGATTTGTATTCAAGCCAGAAATGGAATGCCCTGAGAGGAGAATACAAGGATTCTCCTCCAATAGAAAGGAACAGAGTGGAGATAAGTTCTGGGGCTTTTTTGCTGCCTTGTGCAAGGTACCTGAAATATTCTTCAAACATTCCTTTGTATGCAATTTTTGTCCATTGGCCTTTATGGATGATAAAGGACGTAATGTGACTCCTGTTGAGATTAAAGATATACAAGTAAGCACAATTTTCTTTGAAATTCATACTTATTTGGTATGTTTGATTTCAATTTGATTACAGCTTCGAAAAATTTTGGAAAGAGTATGTGATGATTGGTACCTCAAGTTGATTAACATACTCCAACCAGAGTGTATCATAGCTATTGGCAGGTATATTGAAAAAAGGACAAAGGACCTGTTCAAATCACACAAAATACAAAACATCAAAGTAGTCTACATGCCTCATCCAAGTCCTAGGGTGAGGACTACAGAAAACCAGGATTGGAGTGACAAAGCACAAGCCTGTTTGATGGATAACAACTTGAGCCAATTTTTTGTGTATTGAAGTGTAGATATGGCAGCTTTGAATGCTCCCAAGAAATTGACTGGTGGTCATAAAGTTATTTTGTTATAGTTTATTCATAAGCAATTTCTAAGAAATAATGTTCATTTATGCACTAGCGGGCCGTAAAGTGCACTTTACCGCCCGGTTTTGCGGGCGTTAAGTCGCACTTTACCGCCCACGGACTCATTATCGCCCACGGGCCGTAAAGTGCACTTTACCGCCCACTGTTCTCAGTCACCTTATATCCACATATCAATTCATGAAAAAAGTATGATCATATTCCTAGATTCTAATATATCCAGCGGTATATCATAAACTTCTTCTTTATCCGATTCCATGGTCTCGCTATTATTACTATCACTAATTTTACTTTCCAGTAAAAGAATGACAATTCAGCTCGTTTATTGGATGTATTGCTATTGACAACAACCATCAGATTGATTGACAACGTCGAAATTAAATAAGTTAGGTTTATATACTGGGTATGCATATTGTAAATCTCTGAAGAATGAATCTCTTCTAGAGCTGAAAGAGTTTTACTATTACGATAATTGCAATATTCGTACGATAATTTTCATATGTAAATCATCCATGAACATCACGCTTCTCTTGATAACTGAATTAATACGTAACAAATTAAATTCTGGGGAATATTAGTTTGTCGAAATCTATAGTCATTACTCATGAGTCAGAAAATAAACCACTAGTGCATAAAATTTTGTATGTATCTCGTGCGTGAAATGCGTTTATGGCCTTCAGCGTGTAATGGCCCTCGGCTAGCGCCATCGGGCCATTATTTACGCCACAGGCCATAAACGCCTACTTTACGCCCTTGATACATAAATAACTATTATCCCCTGTTTATTTCATTCCAGAATTTTGTATTTCATTTGTTTTTTTGTTATGTGATTTTAGTTTAGTTTATTTTTATAAATAAATATATATTCAGTTTTTTATATCATATTCTTTAATTGAGGGAAGAAAGAGACCTAAAAGACCTAACTTTTTGGGAGTGCCATAAAAATATTATATTAACATTTCAGGAATATCATTTTTAATCTCAAAAGATTTGAATATTTATTTATTCATTTATTTCAGTTATTGTCTTACATTTGTCTTCATTAATACATTATAAACAAATAATATATAAAGTATAATTGATTTTCTAGTTGGAATATGAATAAAGATCTGACAGTAACTCCTGGTATAAGACCAGGTGGATACCGTTTCATCTAGGTACCTTGTCACATATTTTGAGTTGATAATTTTGATATATATGTATACTTGCTATCAATGAGCATTTTTGAGTATATTCGGAATATTTTGTAAAGTGAAACTACCTATAATGAAAAATCTGTGAGTAGGTAGATCTCTGAGTATACTTACGACCAGCTGTAGTTAATCTGGAGATACTGCATAAAAACACTCCCTACCTTTTGAAGGCACATTTACTTGGCATTTTGTTTCCATTTTTCAAGAATCCCATAAATTTTTGATAAAAAATGTGAAAAACTTCACAAAGGATAAGATTTCCACAAAAATCCTAATACATTTATGGTACAAATAGGTACATTTCACTTGAAGACGCTACTGCATGTGGCTACCAGAACGTCTTTGTTTTTCAGGAATTTTGTGATACAAAAAATATATTGATCATTTTATTATATTATATGCTCACCAGTTACTTGAGAATCTAAGCAGGGCACGAAAACAATTAAGAATATTTAAAATTTTGTTCAACCGCCATTTTGTTGACAGGTTCGACGCTTGTCGGTTCCGATCTGCCGGTAAAGTAGATACCACGCATTGAAGGGCGCTCCTGAAGGTGATTTCACAATGCAGCGTTTTCGCGTCTAAACAAAAACGATGCAAAAATTCCAGAAACCAATTTGGGATTAATTTCTTGGCGATTTTGGTTTGAAACGTGCGATGTTATTTTTTTGGTTCATCGTAAAATCGAAGACAACGCAAGATCACGGCGTTTCATCATTGAGATATTTGAGGAAACCGCCTAGCAATAAACTCTAGGCATGAGATCTAAAAATATCAAGAACTTCAAACTTTATTTCAAAAAAGCTCTAACAATTTCTCGAATAGTTCTATAAAAAATACAAAACATCAGAATTAACAATACTAACAACTAAATAATTTATATCAGTTACAATTCGCATCCCAGTGTACCATAAAAACATGTTTCCCTTCATTTACCAGTATATTCAGGCATTAGAATACCTACTGATTGAAATAATCTCGAAATTCATTACTTTTTATAACAAATTAAACAGAAGAAAGAAAACAGGTATGATGAATACGGAAGAATACATTGTTTTTCCCGTAAGGCAAGCAAAGATGAACCAACCAAGAGAAAAAATCGCCGCCTGCCAAATCAAATGGATTGCCAACAAACTGGAAAGAAAACATAATAATAAAAAAATTGAAGATTTCATGTTGGAAACACAAATAATGGAATGAAATGGAGAAGGCCATTCTGATCTCAATCTTAAATAGGTTAGAATGACATTCACTATAGGCCTTTTCATATAGATATATTTTCAAAGCGCATGCGCTCGTTTTTAGATCCAAAATTTGATTGGGTAATGCAAAGGTGAAGTCTCATTGGCTATAGTTCCGACACACAAAATTCTGATTGGCCATTTCGAATATGGCGGTTTTTATTAACGTTATTGACGTTCTGTCAAATGCCAACAGTGTCAACCACCATGGGCATTCGTCATTGAGAAACAACAATAACAATATAGTATTTTCGTTACTATATTACTGGTGTGTATTAATTGTATTATAATAATAATTTAAATCGAAAAACGTTACTTATTCGTTGCTGAGGAGTGTAGTACAAGTGTTTCGGTGAAAATGGCCGTCACTGTCGTTGGATGCGAGATGTAAACACAGATAGTCATTTTTTTGTCATCTAAATGAAAAGGCCTATTCCTTTCAATTTTTGGTAGTTATTCAGTCTGAGTTCTCGCGAAATATTTCAGTACTTACATGTTGTCTCGTGTTCTGGCGGATTTCAGAGTCTTGATCGGGTCTTTGTTTAAGTAAACTCGAGCACCCAGTGTCAAATCGGCAAAGTATGTCGGCCATTGCAGGGTGCTTATGTCCATGTTGAATTCCGTTTGGTCGTCCTTAGTCAGCCAGTCCTTGAAGGTGTGAAAAAAAAATAGTCACTGCGCTTTGGTCCAGTTATTATTGGATCGTTATACCTGTAAATCCATGGTTTTCATAGCTGAAAATTTCCATTCTGAGAAGATGAATTTCTCCAACATGTCGAGGGAAGCATTCACGTTTCTGTGTAATCTCATCAAACTGAAATGAAAGGCATTCATTGTGTATTCGCGATTGTTAAGGTCTTAAGATGACATTGCGATGACTTTAAAACTACAGGAAATCATCCAAACTCCTGGGCACAGTTTAAGGCTTACAGAATAAACTGTGCCTTGGCATAGATTGCAGTTTTTAACTTTATCGCAACATTATCTTATGTCCTTGACTACCGCGAACAGGTTGCTTGCAAGATCTGTCAGATGACCGACCCTGGAAGTGAAACATCGAAACACAACCTCACTTTTCTTATTTGTTTACAAATGATTGGAATAGTTCTTCATACAAATCGTGTTTTTCCGCTATTGATTAATTCAAGCATACCATCACATTGTGCTGTTGTAAAAGGCGCAAATAATGCAGCGAGAGACGAAGGAATCCGATTTTACAGGTCATTTCTCAATGGAATTCCTTCTGCAATAGAATCTAATAGAAATATTCGTGAAAAGAAAGCAAGAAAATTGGATTCATGCAATCAAACGGGAGGACTGGTCTGACATGCTGACGAAATATGATCGTGTATGTAGACATTTTCACTCTATTAGCAGAGTTACCTTCCATTGCAGAAGTGGCAGAGCAGAGGAATTCTAATGAGGAATTACAAAATGTCATAATGAAAACAATGTGAGATCACTATTTCCCTGAAAATTCTTATTCCTTCGTCTCTACGACCTCGGCTACCTTGCATCTCAAAATTTTAACATCTGTGACAGAATTACAAAATGTAATAATAATCATAACTTAGAACACGGAATTTCGAAAATTAACTCAGACTTTGAAGCATTTTTCAAAATTTCAAATTTTTACATTATATATACAAGTTTGAAGTTGAAAAAAACAGAAATTCAATGAGCTTATGAAATACAGGGTGTTCCATTTAATAAATCATAAGTTTGAATCTTGAGTTTCATAAAAAAGTGGCACAGGACCGCGAAAACCACAAGCTTCTATCTCCAAAGATAACTGAAATATCATGCAAAAGCATCGAAAACTGGACACACTGTATACAGGGTATTTTGGAAATGGTAGGAAAACTCGTTTCAAAAAGTAACTTTCCCGGAGATTCGAAATGAATTAGTCAGAACCGGAAAATGCAACACTCTGGAGAGAGAGAGAGATATCACGCAGAAGCATCGAAAACTGGACACCCTGTATACACAAAGTTATAATTCTTACATGGGCCGGCCTCCGCTCAGTGTGGCCACCGTGTCCAGCACGATGGCGGGAAAGAAATGCACGAAGATGGCGGATATCTTGTACCACGTGATCGACGGCAGGAACTTCAAGTGGGGGTACCACACGGCACTGCTCAGGGGCACCTTGTGCAGGTAGTCGTGCAGCTTGTCCTCCACGTTCATCCATTTGAACGGGTTCCTGGTGCTGGAGGTCGCATGGTACACGGCCACAGTTGGGTTCTTTGTGTGCCCTAAAAAGTGAATTGACCAAAAAATATTTTTGGAAATTTTGAATTATGAAAAAGTTGATGATATCCCGGATCTCCGATTTGAATAGGACACATCAAATTAATTGGTTATTTTATAAAATGTTCGGAGAAAGTTCCAGTTTGTCAAGATATTTGACTTCAAACTGCTTTGTTAGTCTCCCTAATTAGACATTTTTGAGAAGCACTGTATTTACTGGTAGTTTTTTGGCATAGAGCTCATGATAATGTCGTTTTGAAAAATCAGTGGTCTCCCACAATCGTAACTTACACCTCAGAACTATTTGACTAATGCTGTACCAGAATGTCAACATGTATGTCAAAATTCTGAGTACCTCACAGAATTATAAAATGTTACTCAGAATTCAAACATATTCATCACAGAATTATGACTTCCACTTCAGAGTTCTAGCTTGCAACTCAATTTTTTTAAGTCAAAAATATGACTGCAACACACAATTCTAAATTTATGACTGAAATCACAGGTTGTAACTCAGAATTCTAACAAATTCATCACAGAATTCTGACATGCATCTTAAAAATTAGGGAAAAAATGTAAATTTTGAAAAAAAAAAGAATATTCTCCTGGAACTCTGATTTGATGAGAGCACATCAAAAGAATTGGTGGTTTTCCCTTAACAGTTTTGGAGGAAAAACCCCCTGTTGAGGTATTCGACCCTAAAGTAAAGGAGAAAAACTGATTTTTTACGAATTTTGTTTTTTTTTCATGAAATGTTATACACATAGGTTAGGTACCTATGTTCTAAATTTTCGTGCTTAATACCAGTGAAGCAACAGGTGAATTTTATGCAGGAGAATATATCCAATAGGGTAGACTAAAATAGATATTGTTCCAATTTTTTTTGCATTGAATTTTTCAATAAATCGGTCAAATATCATGACATTTCAAATCTTCTCACATTATAGAGGAACGCTAATTTCATTTCCTTCTGGTGAACCGATTTCAAATGAAATCGACTAAGAAAGACAAGCAAGACGCAGGGTATAACATGAAGTTGTAGTCATGTTGAAGCCATATTGTGGCAAAGCTGGTAGGATACAGAGATATCGCGACATACACTGTATGGCGCTGCCATCTATAGTCACACGTACAGACCCCTACGTCTATACGCTACAGTGGTTCTACAAGTGAATCACTCTGCTGACAGATGGCACTACCTGACATACTTGAGTGGAATTTTTCCACCACCTATTCAACTGCTAAATCTCATAACTAAGAGATCTAGGATGAAAAGAGTTGCCACAATTGTCAGCAGGAGCGAGACAGCAGCCGCTCTCGGTCTGCTGACAACTGGGACAACTCTACGCTTCGGGTATATCACCCATTTCGAAGACGCAGGGTATAACATGAAGTTGTAGTCATGTTGAAGCCATCTTGTGGCAAAGCTCTGAGGTAGGATACAGAGATATCGCGACATACAAGCAAGCAAGGTTGGTATTTCTTTCAGGTTCAAAAATTCATAATATGGGATCAGATCTTTGGAAAAACCATACAAATGTTGGTACACAATACAAATAAAGTTCAGTAATTCCATAAAATTGTACGGAATTCTATGAAACAGAACAAAAAAATGTTCCTGAAAAGCAAATTTGCCCCACCCCCTCCCTTGGAGATAACGATTTCGGTAGGGAAGCGTTTAAAAAAATTTATGAAACACCAGTCCCATTATATTCATGAGTACTATTCACATCTGGGAGATTCCCACACCTTCTAGGACACCCTGTACTACCAACACTAACCCGCATTGAAACCGGCATTGATCAAGGTATTGATCACCATATCGACCGGTATATAATCGTAAATCAGTTCTTTAGCAACCGGCAGTCTTCTAACAACCCCTTTGGCTGCTCCCATCAAGAACCCTTGCGGTCCGTTTTTGCTTATGGTCCATCCAGGGACCGGTTCTTTCCACGCCCCAACGACTAGAAAAAAAGAAATGGTTAATGGGACTCAGGTCTGGAATTTTTGCTGGCCGGTGTGTGAGGCACTCACTCATGCTCGGTCTGACGATAGTGCAGGGAAAGAGGCTTTGGCATTTCTGGATTTCGTGTTCGGCCATGTGTTTAGTGATGGTGTAAGTGTTGGGATGTTCTCCAAGAATTTTCGGAGTTTCCCTTTCCAGTTCCTCTGGACTGAGTTTATTTACCAAGCTTATTAGTTCCTCGGGGTCCTTTTGTAACGGATAAATAACCTAGAATGAAAAAGGTAGAATTGTGGCGAGAGTTAAGCAGTTTTTACTAACTTCATCGGCTTCTGTCCGCCAGGAATCTACGTAGGCACTGCTGACGTGTATGAAGACAGCCAAATTTCGGCATTCTTTGGCCAATTGGGCGACTTTCCTCGTGCCCAGAAGATTGATTTCCACTGTGGTTTTCAATGTATCGCCGAAATCAAGCGTGGCGGCTGAATGAAAGATGACATTGATATTATCTACTAGAGTTCGTCTATCTTCAGGTGAGATGCCCAAATTGTCTTGGCTCACATCTCCAGCAATAACTTTTACTTTCGAGAATACCTGAAAACACACCAAAACATGTTTTACCCTTTTCAAAGTTGTTGCATATCCCAACTATAGCAACGTAGAACTCTCAACGAAGTGATTCATGGTATTATTCAACACCTATTGAAGGCTGCACTCTTTCATTTTTCACGGACTTTGATAGAAAAAAAATATTTTATGAAAAGATGTTTATTGCTTTTGGGTGTATGATGAATTGACATTCATCGTACAGGGCGTGGAAGGAAATTCTGAATTGAGACTCTATCACGAATCTGCGATTAGAAGTCTATAAAAATCACAAGTTTCCATCGTTCAAGTTTGAACCCCCTGATTGGTTTATTCTTAAATTTTGTTGTATAATCATTCTCACTATGCAAATTAAAAACAAACTTGTATCGTTTCTTGTAAGTTTAAAGACGACTAAAATACATTATGAAATTTCTTATTGGCTGAAATTTTACTATGTTGTTGTGTTATGGCTCATTAGAAAAATGTGTGAATTTAAAAAGTTTTGTATGCTTAGTTTCTGTATTTTATGTTTGAATAAGAGAAAGTAAGCTAGAAAATGTATTGATCGGAACTCATAAACATATCTAGCTATAAGGAGTCAACAAATTATAACTTGTTGATTCTGGAACTGCTAGAATTTTTTTTTTCGAACAATGAATTTTTGACCTTGCGTCGTATACATCCTGATTTACAATAATTTCCAAGTTCCCAGGTTTTCATGAGGGGTCCTTTAAAATCACCCAGTCCGCATAAAAAATTATCAATCTGTACCTGAACATAGGAACATTTTTATTTCATTATTAAATTGGCTTTAGTTAGGAATATCTATAATATACTGTGGCAGACTGTTGAATGTTTTTATACATTTGTTTAGTGGGCTGTTTAAAGCTATGTTTGTTCTTACATTACTAATGTATAATAGCTATTTATCTTCTTGTATCATGAGAGTGTATATTGTTCACAATCTCTAATTGCAAATTGCATTTGAATTGATTATTAATCACTGTGCAAACATTTGTTTTGTTAAATTTTCAATATTTCTGCTATTTGAATAAAACCATTTCATTTGTAAACTACATCTATCAAAGTTCTCTAACTGAAATTGAATAAAAGCTGCACTACCTTATTTTGAATCCTCTGTGGTTTATTCATTATTGTTATTGCACAAGTGCACCAGACTGGTATTAGGTTGTATTAGATAGCTGAATATTGTCAAGAAATAGGTGTTATAATTTTGTTTCAGTATCTTATCATTGTTATAGAATTTGTGTAATTGACCCGAATATCTTGAGAACTGAAAGAGCTATAAAAAAAATAATAAAACAATTTTGAAATTTAATGCTGTGTAGTTGTAGGTGAGGAAACATTTGGGGACACATGTTTATAGAAAAAAGAGTCTTATTTTGTCCCAAAAAATAAGCACCTGAAATCTTGATACTAAATTTTGAAACAACATGTACATTGGTTTTATCCTCGGTTTTATCGATAGTTTTATAGTAAGTAAGACATTTGTATAATCGTATTTAATAACCTTCATAGAAGATACATTGTTAGTTGTGAAGTTTCTACTAACTTGTTCAATGCTTTTGTCTTTGAGCACAGTCTCAAATATTTGGTTTTTCTTGATTTCCTCGAGCCTCTCGGATATATCTTTCCCTTTCTTGGGCCGCATCAACAGATAGATGTCGCCGTGGTCGGGAATACATCTGAGGAATTTTTCCAGAAGGCATATCCCCACAAATCCACTGCCCCCAGTGATGAAGATATTTTTGCCTTTGTAGAACCCTTTAACGCCAATGTCAGACGAAACAACCCTTCAAAACATCTGGATCAATTCGAGGATCAATAATTGGAAATATATAAATATATACAGGGTGTTTCAGACTTAAATATACATAGGATACTTGCAGATAGAAGAGGGCACTTTGACGGTTTCAAATCACTCCCCATTGATGTGTCTACCGTCTTTTTTAACTGTGATACAGGACATTATCTTGATTTTGGCAAAATCTTCATCTGGTCATCTGGTCATAATTTTTGAACCACTTTGTATAATCTATTCATACTTGGTAGAAATATCGAGATCAGAATCCAGGTCCATCTTTAAGGAAAACCAGAAAACTTCTTTTATTTCGGAAACAACACTCTGTATGGCAAAATCTGGATCTGTTATGATATTTGGAAAGAGTGGGAAAAAATGAACAGTGGCCTACTTTTCACGAGCGCGCATCAAATTTGACAGATGGTTTATTATTGTTTTGAAATATTCACCTCCATTTCTAGACATAAAAAATAACAGTCTTCAAAGTTTAACATCATCAGAGTCAAATTAGGTGAAATATTGATGGATTTGTCCGTTTGACAGTCATTTTATTCTTCACTATTTATTCATAAGCTGCGGTAAAGTAGGCTGTGCAAAAAAAATTAAAATTCTGACTAGCCAGTGTGATTGAAATGTAACAACCCACTAGTGATTATGAACTGTCAGAATATCAGATTTTTTTGCGCAGCCTACTTTACGCAGCTCATGATTCAATAGTAGTGAAGAATAAAATGAGTCCGCAAAAATTTTAAAAATCAACACCGACAAATCATTCTGTCAAACGAACTAATATATCGATAGTTTACTTAATTTGACGATGTTGAAGTGTTAAAGACTGTTATTTTTTTGTGAAATAATTGGATTTTGAATTATTTGATTTGAGTTCAATAAAAAAGCCTCAAAATGGAACTGAGAATTTCAAAGATAACAATAGAATATCTGTCAAATCGGATGCTCGCTCGTAAAAAGTAGACCACTTTATTCGTTTTTCTCTGCTCTTTTTGATAACCAAAACTGATCTACAAAAATTTGCCATACAGTGTTGTTTGTGAAATGGAAGAAGTTTTCTGTTTTTCCTCGAGACGGACCTGGATTCTGATCCCGATTTTCATTTAGTTTCGATGGGTAATATAAGTGAAATATTTCTACTGAGTATGGATACATTATACAAAGTGGTTCAAAAGTTATGACCAGATGAAGATTTTGCCAAAATCAAGATAAGGTCCTGTATCTCTGTAATAAAAGATGGGAGGAGGTGATTTGCAACCATCAAAGCTTCCTACATCTACAGGTATCGTATGTACATTCAACTCTGTATGGAACCATGAGTTTTTTTTGCCGCCACGAAAAAAATTACCTTCCTAAGTACTATATTGGAACAACTTCAACGATATATAACTATTATTCATTGAATGATCGAAACTAGAAATGAATATCTACATGGAAACATATTGAATTATTGATGTTTTCACTTTTTTAAAAGATTCAAGTTATCTGCTGATTTATAGTATTTATCATTTGCTATCATATTTCATATTTCAAAATAAATTATCCTAAACTATCAGTCATAAAATAGAAATTAATGAAATGAACAATTCAATTGAAATATTTTATTTAGTTTAGTATTGCTAATTCCATAAAACTTTCCTCAAAACTCTTCATATATCCATCCTTTTTGTTCTAGATTTTCTGTTTTTTCTCTTCATACAAGAAGTGAAAATTGAAAATACCCATCATGCATAATCATTTTTCAAAAGCATAAATTAACTCAACAATATGTTCACATATTATTTATCTCGGAATAGAAATTTTTATGGTAATTGAAAAGCAATTCACATTATGAGAAATTGACCTTAAATCTATAATGCATGTTTACAATAATTATTGACTAATGATTCAACAAAGTATATTGAGAAATTAGCATTCACTGGGGTCTCAAGAATAAAACAACTTTCTCACAATGATAAATATAATGATAGATACCTATAATATATTTGAGTAAATGTGTTAGTGTTGTGTAATTTTTCAAATGCATAATATAGGTAGGTACTTACCAATTACATAAATAAATGAATTGAAGATGTAGCAATAAGATTAGGCAATAAAAATATTAATTAAATTTATCTTTGGCTAAAACTGCTCTTTATTCCTATGGTTGTTTCTGTTATAGCATTATGCAAACAGAAAGCCTCACAGAAAGCATAAAAAAATCAAGCTTCACAGGTTGAGGGAGCACAAATTTTGTCACAAGTGGGAAAAGGGAAACTTAAAAAAAAAAACAGTGGATATATTAGGTGCCTTGGTGCCAAAATCAGGAGAATAGGAATGAATAAGTATATAGGTTCCTATGAGGGGTAAACAGCTGTGGAATTCTGGTGTACAAACAACTAGAATTCCTGCTTTGGATTTCCTTGGAGATTCTTGAAATTTCTTGAAATTTTCTTGTGAAATTGATGTTTGGTGTACACAATTTTGACCGAGGTTTACCCCTTTGGTTCTTATGATATTCAAATTCATGATGAATCAGTGATCAGTTGAATCTGTTGATTTATTTTATTATGTCACATTGGCTTTTTTATTTTGAACAACCAGTATGGAGCATAAAATTAATTACCTGCACTTTCATAAAACAGGATCATCAAGGCCAAAGGAACAAAACTATATGGAGACCTTTTTTTATAAACTTTGTACCCACATCATGTTACCATGATCATAAATTATAATTAATACCTACTTATATAAAAAAGTATTCAATGTTTTACCATATATCAATAATATTATTATCACTGATGGTTTGAATAACTGCCTCTTTATAGTACCCAAGGTGGAAACTGGTATCTACCTTGGTATCTACTGAACAAATTTCCCTGACAATTTCCCATTAGCACACTGATATATTGAGTGGCATTTCTCTGAAATGGTTCAACTAGTAATTTCTATATTAATTAGATGAATACTTTCAATGCAGACAATTAAATAATAATTACTGCTTTTGGAAGATATCCATCATCTACCTGTACTAATACCTGTACCTACCAATATATTTTTGACTAAAACAACATTAATTTGCATAGGTCATCCACAAGAAGTCTGGCTAGATAATGGATATAGTCAGGAAAATAATTATTAGAAGACTGGTTCACCTATTCTTAATCGGCAATCAGAACTGACCACCCTCAATAACTAATATAGGTAATTGAACAAATCTGGGAACAAATTATCACAACTACAGTAGGTCCAAGGGGTATACATACACTATAATAGAATATTAGTATAATAATTAAATACTCACATTTTATTTGCCTATATAAAAATTTTCAGTATTTACGGCTACACAATACTAGTCTTCAAAGAATATGGATTTGTACAGACTGGAGTAGGTAGGTACTTTTATTTTTTATTATTCAATTCAAATTCAAAGGCTCCTGCTCCTCATCAATGAATGAAGAATATGAATGTAAATGTAAACTAAACCCAGCGAACTGCGGAGTCAAATGTAAAATACTGAATACTGGAGAAATTATTAACAGAATGCAAAATACACTTGAAATAAACACAAACACCTCACACCACACCTGAGCCGGACCAGTTAAACCATGAATGACCAGAATGACCATGAAATGAGTAATGACATGACCATGAAGTCATGAAGATGAACGACGAACGTAAACGAGAAAACAACCGCTAAAACGAGACAGTTAAATCAAATCCTTAGATCATACAGGATCTGTATGATCTAAGGTTGAATCACAAACATTTTTAAGTATGACATCACTGTTCAAGTCAATGAAACGTCAGGACGTCACTGCCATGACACTGATGACACAGAACATAGACATGTCAGTTTCAGCTACAGTGAATAATCCTCAACATGAAGTGATGAAATGCAAATAATGCAATAATTCAAAATTCATAGATGATAGATGTTACAAGTGCCTAAATCTTCTGAACCATTGGTCAGGGAGTTTTATTCTGGTCCACTAATAGCATGGCGCCCGCACACTGTGATAATTTATATAGTGATTTCAGCTGTCAATGCTGTCTTCTCAATATTTTCAAGTTCTTCAACATAAGAATATGCATGCCTCCAAAATATATCACATGTTTCACTATGACCAATCTGTCAATGAGGCTTGGGAATGGTTTGTAATCTTTAGGCTCTCCCTTACTTGATCAGATTTTTTAATGTCCAGTAAGGACAGTAAGTGGGATTCAGCAGTTTCAGGACATCCCCATTCCCCAGAAGTGGAGATCAAAATTTAAAATATTGTATCAAAAATCAGTCTGAGACTATGTGCTAAATAAAATACAAAATAAGTACCTATATAATAACAATATTTCATTTATAATTTGCTGACAACAAAGATTACAATGTAGTATCTTTTCACATTGGGATCATACCAACCATAAAAATCAGTTTCTAGTGAAATATTAGTTATTTTGAAACCCCCACTAAAGCTGGCCTAAGTACTCTATCTTTCAATTTGTATCCAGTTTTTGAAACTACTACCACTATACCAGAATCTTTGTTGGGAGCATCCTGAAACAGATAACAGTAACATGATTCACCAATAGATCAACACAATTTCCATACAAACCATTTGAAATAGGGCCTCATGGAAGTTGGGATCAAACTTCTCATTGATAGGATTCACTGGTTCCAATCCATGCCTTTTGAATACACTCTTCAACTGAGATTCAGTCATAATCAAACCTTCATAAAGGCTTTTCAAATGTGGGTTTTTATCAGTGATTTCTTCTTTAGGTACAGTTTCAGTTGCTTTACTCAAAACATCAGCTACATCAAGCAAATCCTTACAAAAACCTTGTATACTGTATACTTTTGCATCAGCAATTTGCTTTGTAAGTCTATCACGTAAATTTTCTCTATCTGCTAATGCCCTCTTGTATTTATCCTGAAAACAAGTGGAAATTACTACCTGGAAAAACGTTTGTCACAGATGTCATACCAAGAGTTCTGAATTATCAGTTGTGAGTTTAGATATCTGTTCATTCAACTTTTGGAGCTCAACATTTTTTTCAGTAACATTTGGTGTCTGCTCTTGTTTGATTTCTTCAGCAGTTGTATTTCTCCTTGAGTTGGAAACTGCTATACTCCTAAAATGATAAGATATATGATTTGTAATATGATGCAATTCCACCTCAGTTCTCAAAGGCATGACAAATTTCAGAAGCAAACAAGGAAAACGACTCACCTTGTGTTGAAAATGAGCAATTCGCTTATGGGCGGATAACATTTAACCAGGTTTCTTATTCCCATTAATGCCATATTTACAATTTTTTTCCAAAAAGTTGACTTTTAAAATGTAATGATCTAGGTTGAAGTTGAAGGTTAGAATTCTGACATATCTGATTCTTCTGTTTATAAATTTTGCACTCCTGTTACAACTATGTTCATATCATTTTCATGAACAAACTCTCATAACTCTTATAATTCTTCTTCCTCTTTAAATTTAATTTTTTAATTTAAGGTTAGGTGATCACATCAACACATGTCACTATTTGGTATTTTCACTTTTCACTCATGTCAGCGTCAGCATGTCATGTTGCTGTTGAGCGAAATTCAAATAGCGCTTTAATAAATCATCAAAACCTCTAATTCTGATAAATATGTATTAAATTTGGGTATGAGATGAGAAACATCATAGAAAATGAACGATATTCTAATGAATGAATTTACAAAACTTGGAACCAAACAACAAGCAGTCGTCACACTGCAAGTTTACCTTGAACTTTGTGAAGTGAAAAAATACCATGACATACAATATTTCTACAATGAAAACATAAAGAGAATCGTTATTACCGCCAAAAAGATGAAAAACAGTCCAGTTTCTGCTTTCATACCTGTGACAGTGTATGAAAACTTGAATTTCCTGGGAATTCAAAGTTTAATCAAGACAAACATTTGTGAAATATTGTTTTTAGTTATTGTGCATGCAGATTCAACTTGTGTATTTTATCAATTATCAGATGGCTTAGTAGAACCTTCAGACACTTCAGCTAAGTACCTCAGAGAAAATAAGCAAGAAAAGTTAGATAGTGATTTGAGAAAGAACAGAAATTTGCTGGAACAAGCTGCATTAATGGGACTCCCAATAACTCTTAAAAAGGATGAAATGAAAAGTGGAGATCTGCTGTAAATTGAAGAAATGTTTGTATGAATCATATACATATATCTAATAGGCTAAAAAAATACTATACAAAATATTAAAACCTATTTACAATCCTACTTCATTTAATTTTTCTTTCCATTGATTTTTCTCAGTTTATCTCTAGAGAGATTATCAAAAAATAACAAACCTGCTGCTCTCTCAATACTTTCTGGTGGCACCTTAAAATAACAAAGAATAAAATGATGATTCAGAGGTCATTCATTGAATTTTTACCTGGAAACTAGTAAGTGGTGTCCCTTCATCAATAACTTGATTTGGCATAACATAAGATTCCATTTCAAAATGTCCCTCAGCAGTTTCTCCCACCACAACTTTATAAAAATGTGTAGGAACTGCAACATGATTGGCTCCAATAACTTCATATTTCACATAAGTCTTACCATCATTTTCTTTCCTAGAAAGGGAACTTGAAAATTATTGAAAACATTGATTATAGACATACCTTGGTAAATATAATGGTCCAGTACAGCAGTACACATTCCTATATACTTTTGTCAACTTTCTTACATACTTTTCTAAACTATTCCAAGCATCTCTATTAAAGCCTTTCCCCACTTGGGGTGCCATATTTGTCAAATAAAAAGTCTGTTCTATATGCCTTTGATTTGATTTATGATTTCCAGCTGCAGCAAGGTGTCCTCTATCATACCCAGACTTCTTATAATCAGAGTTATCTGACCTGAATAACTTGTGAACACTTTCATCAGGTTTGAATTCACATTTGGTTCTATCAACTTGATCATTTGGCTTCACATTCTCAGGAGTAAGATGTTCAAACACCCAGTGTGCTACTCTGTTCCGCCTATCATAGCTCAAAATGTAATCATCAAATGATCTGACTTGATCTAGGCCAGGGAATCCATACTTCATTATCTGAGACACTCGACTGACATGGGTCTCTGAATGAGGGACAGGAGTCAAAGGAGTTGCTGCCGAGACTGTAGCAAATACTGGTAAAGCTGGCATACTTTTGAGTGGTGCAAATGTTGGGCAAGAGGAATATTTCTTTCTTTCAACATATGTCCCAACTGAATAGCTGCATAGGGCAACGGATCCGACTACGATTATCTTTGTTAATTTTTTAGTTGCCATTGTATCATTTGTATTAAATTGTATTATATTATTAGATTTTTGGTGTACATAGTTCGATATTATAATATACACTTCAAACTTGGATCACAGGACACAGCTTAGATTTCAAATATTCATTTTAGGATATTTAGGTTGATATCTTCTTAGTTTTTCTTGAAATAAGTTTGACATCATTCACCTCAAATAGCTTTCAAGTCCTTTGATCTCTTGCTCTCTATATCTCATGGTCTCAGACCCACAGTTGCACAGTTCTGTGGTGGATGATACACTTATTATTCTTCTTCTTCTCGTCCATCTTCTTTTTATTAATTCCGTATCTACTTTGGTTTATTGCTGGGCGAAATGATGAAAGCTTCAGGCAATTTATGAACAAGTTGAAAATCTGATCATTCAAATTCGATGAAATTAGTTTCAAAAGAGGTCAAACCTATAAAGAATAACTTGCCTCGTCATAAATTCCGACAAAATCGCACGAAACCTATCAACTATTATTTTCATTCTGCTCGAGTCCTCATATTTCAAATTTCCCGCCATATGCACTAGATCATGCCGCCAAAACATGTTTTTCCCATCCACGAGAAATCAGGAATACTTTATGTAAACGATGTACGGAATGAAACGTAGGAAAATATATAAAAGCCAAAACATTTCATAGTGTAATTATCCCGATTGCATATTTTTTAAAAACCCGAATTAATCATCCACCCGGAAATCCCCTGGAAACTTCTAGATAGAAATATCTACCAATGAGAGCTAGGGTCATGGTTCTGATTGGTCTGGATAGGCCGTACGCCAGGATCTTCTAGAAAATTCGTTGACCTCGTATAAAATCGGCCATTCCGAATTTCCTTCGATTTGATTACAGTCACTGCTGTAGTACACACGTAATTTAGGTATATAAAAGTATTGTCTGCAACTAATTTATTTTAAGGTGAGTTATTTAGTTTAATTCCTATTTTAATTTATCAAAACACGTTGAGAGTTTGATTTACTGATTGAATTTGTCATATTTTTGCTCAGAATTGTCAAAAAAAGTTGAAAAGGTGCGGCACACGAAAGGCACGTTTTTACCGTGGTCATCAATAAAGAAATAACAGGATTGTGAAGATATATTGAACATTTTTCTAATATCGTAGTCAATGAACGTAAGCATGCATTCATTTTTGAAATTGCATTTTTCATTTTTCAAAAATTGATGGGATGAAAGAAATTTTAAATTTATAATCCATGTGTGACGTAGGTTTTGTACAAAGTTGAAGGTCAGTTTGAAAACTTGAAGTTGATCGATTTGATGCATTGCCGTAAAACTGTAGCTAGGAAAAATATGAAATGATTATTTCTGACTTGGGATGTATAAATTTGGAATTGGATAGATCAATGAAGCTCAGCCATTTTTAGAACATCTCAAGGCTTCATTATAATAATAGTTCCAACCCAATCTAATGAACAATTATTCAAGATTCCACATTTGGATTTGAACCTTGGATGACTTCATTGCTAATCTTTTTTATAATGATGATATTTCAAAGTCATGCCAGACTGGAGTTTATGAATCATACACTGATTAACAATTTATCTGATAACATTGTACAAAAACCTGCAATTTCACTAAATAAACTGCAATTATTCTAATCAAGTTGTTTTTTTCAACAGTAAAATGGCTAAAGCACCAGCAGTAGGTATTGATTTAGGTACAACCTATTCCTGTGTAGGAGTATTCCAACACGGCAAAGTTGAAATAATTGCCAATGACCAAGGAAACAGAACCACCCCCTCATATGTGGCCTTCACAGACACAGAGCGTCTCATTGGAGATGCCGCCAAAAACCAAGTAGCAATGAACCCCAACAACACAATTTTTGGTAAGAAAATTAACACATTTTGTTTTACAAATCACACTTCTCTGTTTACCTACTTCATTGAGTGTATAAAACTGAGGCAGGTTAAATTCCAATGTTTCTACAAGAAAAGATGAGTCATTTGCCATTTCCAACATCATTAAACTATCACAACACACTATGTTAGTTTCTTCAGAAGATGATTAAAACTAAATTTTTCTCCTGCAGATGCTATCATAGTTAGCAAAACACATGTTGAGGCATAAAAAATCATTTGTTAGTGGTAAAACTGCATAGTGTATGATCCTGCCAAAGGTTCCAGTCTTCATTATATCACAACTCTTGCTATACTTGAATATGTTTCTGGGCTTTTATATGCATAACTGTTATACTAAATATACGAATAATCATCATTTCAACTCTGTTAATGAGAAGATCAGTTGAAATTAAGAGATATTTTCATCATTCAAATCAGCAATGATAGTATTGATCTATGGTTTTATATGATTAATTTTTTTTCTTGCTGTTACCGGGTGTTTCTCAGAAGTAATATGAATTATCTTCATTTCAACTTTCAAGTCTGTTGATGAGAAGACCAGTTGAAATTGAGAGATATTTTCATCATTCAAATCAATTGAATCAGCACTCAGACCTTAAACTTAACAGCATTTTTAAGCTGTTACTTAATGTTTCTCAGAAGTGGTAGTAATATTCAGAGAACATGTTAATGAAACCTTGGAACTATTTAATTTTGCTTTTTTAATAGTTCTTTCATCAAAGGAGTTGATGAATGGTTGAAAATATACTTGAAGAACCTGTAACTGTTCTTTCTGATAGTTATTGTTGCATGATCTTATTTTATTCTTGTATATTTTTTGCATTTTTTTTGCAAAGGTGCTCTACTAATGAAGACATCTAAGGCTGTTAACAGTGTTGACCATACAAAACAAAGCCCTAACTTCAGCCCCATATTAGATAGTTCCTTATAGCTCATGTGCATATTTCACAGATGATTTACCCTGGAGGTAAAACAACCTCGCTTTTCTTATTTGTACAAGTGATTGAAATAGTTTTTCACAATCATTTTGGCATATGAATTGTGTTTCTTGGGCCATTTATTTATTGTAGCATGCACCAATCACATAATGCTGTTTTGCAAGGAAAACCATTTTGCAGGTAGGTAAATTGTAATCTAAAAGTACTGTAGTCACTCAAAATAGTTAACATTTTGAAATTTTACCGTTCCTCTTTGGAATTTCGTTTGCAATAGGAGCAAATAGAAAGACTTGTGAAGTAATGAAGTTTCAAAAAATGAGGCAAGGAGCTTGGATTTGTGCAATCAAACAGGAGGACTGGTTTGACATGCTGATGAAAATATGGTCCTGTGTGTTGTGGACTTTTCACTTTTAACTTCTATTGCATAAGGAATTTAAAAAGAGAAATTTCAAAAATTTTAAATAAAAACTGAGGACTACATTACTTTCAGATCACAATTTACCTGAAAAATCTTATTCCTTCCTTCCCACTGCATTTTTTAGGCATCCTACAACAGCACCATGTGATGGCATGCTTTAATGAATAAATTTTCCAAGAAACACTATTTCTATGCCAAAATGATTGTGGAAAACTATTTCAATCCTTTTTAAACAAATAAGAAAGTGAGGTTCCTTCCTTGTATAACCCAATTTGACCTAATAAAACATTAGCCCCATATTACATAAACTTATTAATTTCTTCAAACATGATATTATATCAATGTCATGCCAGACTGGAGTTTATGAGCTACTTTCATGAATTTTCTACTATCTGAAACATCATACTATTTTGAACAATTTCCTCAGCAAATCCTGGATTTTAATTTTTTTTTCTTCATCAACTAGATGCCAAATGCCTGATAGGGTGTTGTTTGAGGACGCCTCCGTCCAATCAAACATGAAACATTGGGTCTGGCCATTTGGAGCAACGGTTGTTTTTTGTATTGCCTAAAGGAAATGTAGGAATGAACCCTTGAAAATTCTTTTATTTTGCTTTTTTTATAGTTCTTTCAAGAAAAAAAGAGTTGATGGATGGTTGAAATAGTATATTGGTTAACGTCATTTCCCAAGAGAATGACAAATCATATGAGGGGGAAATGCAAGTTGAACACTTCACTTTTTCTATCACTGTAACAGATAATAGTGAAACTTTTTATTTCTCTGGCTTGTAGCCATCTTTTCCCATTAGTAATGCTCATCTATTAGGCAGAGCTGTCATTGCTGGAAATTTGACATTTCCTGGGACATGAGATTTCATGAAATATTAACAAAATAAAGGCATTGTGATATCAGATACAAACAGGGGCGTCTGCAGAAATGATCTCAGGGAGGGGCAAGTCACAATAAATAATGTACAATATTTACTACATATCAAAAAAACAGTTTTTGCACGACCTATTAGCGATTTTACACCAACAAGAACGGGAATACAGGATGCAGGGTATACAGAGTAGGCACTCTCAAGGCTAACAAATTTTCCGGGATTTTTCTGGCAATAAATCTACCACTATGTTTGCAGCAGATTTTTCAATAGTTTTTCCACACATTCCTGCAATATTTATTGAAAAAACCTTATCGGTAACTTGATTTTGTGATTATTGTGTTCAGATTTTCATTTTCACACTGACAATAATTGATTTTATCATAAGATTCTTTCAATTAAAATCGTCCAGTCCTGCAAAAAATGGTATATAAACCTCGGAAGTGAGTTCTTTCTTCCCTCAGTGCATTTTAGCACCCTCTGGTGCCACATAGGTATTCTGTTTACAGCCAAGATTACAATAAAAAATTGCATGTGATAATAATCTTGAGTTTTGAGCAAATTTATCAATAACTTCGTTGATAAAATTAACTCTATATCTATCTATAAGATGTTGATGAATACTAATTGAACAAAGTCTCAGAAAGTCACTATAATAAGCGCCTATTAAAATAGGAATTGAATAATGCAAATATATCTTGGTTATAAAGTATTTGAGTAAAGACAAAGCGCTAGGGGGGGGGGGGGGCGAGCGCCCCCCTTGCCTTCCCCACCGGTTACCCCTTTTATGATTCTCCTGTACCTCTCACAATTTTGATCATCTAGGTACTCATGATAATTGTTTTGTCAGCTTCTACCTGTGATATTTGTAATTTTACTTTATTTTATGTATCTATGTATCTTATGATTGTTATGACTTTTCCAATATCATGTAACAATGATCAAAATGGTCAAAATATTTTATTATTATTATTATTATTATTATTATTATTATTATTACAAAAATAAGATTGATGACATACAAAGTACCTCGTTGATTTATGAAGCACAGTAAATCAAGAGCAATTTTGTGTTATAGCTGTAAAAAAATATACTTGTTTCTTCATCCTTAATGAGATAATCCTATCAATTTCTTCCAACATGATGATATTATATCAATGTCATGCCAGACTGGAGTTTATGAGCTACTTCCATGATTTCTCAACTATCTGAAACATCCTTACTGTTTTCATAATTCCCTCGACAATTCCACGATTTCTCAATCTTCCTCTCTTTCTAATCAACTAGACGCCAAACGTCTGATCGGTCGTCGTTTCGAGGACGCCACCGTCCAATCCGACATGAAACATTGGCCCTTCGAGGTGATCAGCGACGGAGGCAAGCCCAAAATCAAGGTCGCCTACAAGGGCGAGGACAAGACCTTCTACCCCGAGGAGGTGAGTTCGATGGTGCTGACCAAGATGAAGGAAACGGCCGAGGCGTATTTGGGCAAGAACGTGACCAATGCCGTTATCACCGTGCCTGCATACTTCAACGATTCCCAAAGGCAGGCCACCAAAGATGCAGGTGAGATGATCAGAAGCGGTACTTTTTTCACATTTTGTGATTTTTTTGTCTCTTTTTGTCATTGAATAAAATTCGAAAATATTTTTCAATTCATTTCTTTCAAATTATATGTTTTTGATTCATCTAGAAAAGCAGGGCACGCCACTGAAGTTGCTGTTTTATACTTCATATTTAAGATATCCAGTCATATCTCGAAATATATGGCTCTGGAATACCTTGAAATACATATTTTTTTAAATTTTTGTTTCATCAATTCTTCATATAAAATTAATCAGAAAATGATCAGACTTGCCCGTGAAACGTGTGACGTCAGTGAGCGAGCCATTTTGTTTTTTTCTGGAATTTAATTCATTTCTATATTTTTTCATTTTAGCAAATAATACAAATGCTGTTAGATAAATCAACTAATAACTACTTGAATACTGTCTGTAGGTTAATTGAGGAGATGTTACATTCATTTTACTTGATTATTTATGTGAAACATTTCTCAAATTTCTTTAGGAAACAAAATGTTCTCCCGAGAAAACACCTTTTCTGTTGTACTTTTTGCTGGTATAGAGGGAATTTTGAAATTGTGACACTGAAATTCCTTCAGATATTTCGAAATTTTTGTCCCCATTTTTCCTCATTTTCAAATGCGGATACTGACATCATGATGATCAAAAATATTATGTGGCATTGACGCCAAGGGCAGTTTTAATCTTCATACTAATTTTTAAACAAATCAGTTATCACTAGTAGCAAAATTATGTTGACTATTCAACTCTTTTTCTCGAGAACCAATCAGAATCGACCATTATCACGGTTTCTTTTGTATTACAGCGATATTTTTTGTTTACTTGAATTCATCGGACTTGCTCAGAAGCCGAATAATTGATCCACACGTGGCCAACCAACCTCGTTTTTCCGCGATAACATTTTTGACATTCAAAACGTCAATTGAGTTGAAAGTCAGAATGATGGATGCAGTGCGCGCAACTCTCTCGAGGCGCTCGTTCTTTTCTCAGTCATGAAATGAATTGTCATGTAATACCGCAAGTGACACTTGGCAGAAATATGATTTAAAAAAGGAATTTCCAGGTCAACTTTCACACTCGAAATAGCAACGAAAAAAAAATTAGCTTATGACCACAATTTGATATACATGAACACTCATATAATAATAATAAATATATAAATATAATTATAAGATAGACATGGGAATGCTAGTTCTAAGTTCGACTACCTGCCGAACACTAATGAACCAGCACTTGCACATGTCTGTGATAGTCAGCTAGTGACGTAAGCACATTCCACTGAGCAGTAGCGTATTCAATTTGCTAGACGCCAACATGAAAGAAAATAATCTCCGTTTCTTCAAGGTTCCATTTCCGGTCTGCAAATTCTCCGTATCATCAACGAACCCATCGCCGCCGCCATCGCCTACGACTCTGAAGTTTCGATTAACAATGTCATTCGCGATTTTATAAGGCAACAAGCTGTCGTAACAATCGCCAAATATTTCCGGCAAAATAGTATCACTTGTGGTATTACATATGAAAAGAAATGATTGAATAAACAAATTTCGAGGTCCTAGGCAAATTTTCACACTCTGAATAGCAACGGAAAAAAATTAGCTTATGATCACAATTTGATAAACAGAAGCACTATCACATGATGAAAAATGGACATGGGATATGCTAGTAAGTTCGACTACCCGGCGAACACTAATGAACCAGCACTTGCACATGTCTGTGATAGTCAGCTAGTGACGTAAGCATATTCCAATGAGCAATAGCGTACCTAATTGCTAGATGCCGATATAAAACAAAAATCACAGTTTCTTCAAGGTACCATACAATGTCATTCGCGAATTTATCAGGCAACAAGCTGTCGTAACAATCGGCGAATATTTCCGGCAAAATAGTATCACTTGTGGTATTATATATAAATAAAAATGATTGAAAAACAAATTTCGAGGTCCTAGGTCAATTTTTACGCTCGGAATAGCAACAAGAAAAAAAATAGCTTATGATCACATCTTGATAAACAGTAGCACTATCACATAATATAAAATGGACATTGGATATGCTAGTTCTAAGTTCGACTACCCGCCAGCACTTGCACATGTCTGTGATAGTCAGCTAGTGACGTAAGCACATTCCAACATAAAATAAAATAATCTCCGTTTCTTCAAGGTACCATTTCCGGTCTGCAAATTCTCCGTATCATCAACGAACCCACCGCCGCCGCCATCGCGTACGGTCTGGACAAAAAAGGCCAGGGCGAACGGAACGTGCTCATCTTCGACTTGGGCGGCGGCACCTTCGACGTGTCCATCCTCACCATCGAGGACGGCATCTTCGAGGTGAAATCCACCGCTGGAGACACGCATTTGGGCGGGGAGGACTTCGACAATCGCATGGTCAATCACTTTGTGCAGGAGTTCAAGCGGAAGTACAAGAAGGACTTGACCAGTAACAAGAGGGCGTTGAGGCGGCTGAGAACCAGGTAAAAGGAAGTGGTTCAATTGTCTATTTTTATGATTATTGTCGAAATTGATTTTCTGACGATTGATTCCTTGTTTTTTTTTCAGCTGTGAAAGGGCGAAACGTACCCTCTCCTCGTCGACGCAGGCCAGCATCGAGATCGACTCGCTCTTTGAGGGTATCGATTTCTACACCTCCATCACCAGGGCCAGATTCGAAGAGTTGAACGCCGATCTGTTCCGTTCGACCATGGAGCCGGTCGAGAAGTCGATCCGCGACGCTAAAATGGACAAATCTCAAGTGCACGACATCGTCTTGGTCGGCGGGTCCACGCGTATCCCCAAGGTGAGAAGAAATTCTGATCGATTTTTGTCTTTCATCGATGATAAATGGTCGGCCAGTGCGTGGAATGGAAAATGATTGTAGCCATTGCAAAGAGAATTTCAATACCTTCAAAATGAGGTGTAACTTGACCTACTTACTATGTGAACTCGAAAAGTTGATAGCGGCGCTACTACCACCAATGATTGTTCTTATTCAATTTTCGAGTCAAAGTGAAGAATTCACAATTTTTCTAGATGTAATTGACCGTTTATTCATCGTAGATGGGTTGGCACCACTATCAACATTTCAGTTTCAAATGGCAAGGGGGTCATGTGACATCTCGTTTGAAAGGTATTTCGATTTGCTATTCAAATATGGAGTCATTGTTCCTTTTAGATACCTCATTTCGAAAATTTTGTTGAAGGTTGAGGAACCCGTGGTCATTGAATAGAAAATCAAAATTCCTTCAAAATGAGTGGTCACTTGATAGGTTTTTTGTTTGAAACTCAGAAGTTGATAGTGGCGCTAAAACCAAGTTTCTATTTCTTCTCTGATGCTGAAAAGTAGAGATGAACGGAATTGAACAGATATTCATTTCATTTAGAAGCGTATGTTTATCTCAAACGAATAGCGCCGCTATCAACTTTTCAGTTTCAAATGGCAAGGGGGTCGTGTGACCACTCATTCGCAAGGTAATCCGATCGTCTATTCAATCATTCAGTTCATGTTGCCCCATCTAGAAAAAAATCCACTTCAACGACAGAAAGCTAAACAAGTCGTTCAACTTTGACGAGGCGGTGGCTTACGGCGACAAGTTCAAAGAGGTGCAAGATCTGTTGCTGCCCGACGTCACTCCATTGTCGTTGTTTCTTTTGCTCTAATTCGGAAACTTTATTCTAGGTCCAAATTACCTTGCTCATTGAGTAGATTATAATAATTCCTTCAAAATGAGTGGTCACTTGCCAGGTTTCTTGTTTGAAACTCAAAAGTTGAAAGCGGCGCTGAAACCAAGTTTCTATTTCTTCTCTGATGCTGAAAAGAAGAGATGAAAACAATTGAACAGGCATCTTTTTTTCTTTCATTTAGAAGCGTACATTCATTTCAAACGAATAGCGGAATAGCGCCGCTATCAACTTTTCAGTTTCAAATGGCAAGGGGGTCGTGTGACCCCTCATTTGAAAGGTAATCCGACCGTCTATTCAATCGTTTATCAAAAATTCCATTTCAGGTCCAAAAACTCCTGCAAGACTTCTTCAACGGCAAAGAGCTGAACAAGTCGATCAACCCCGACGAAGCGGTGGCATACGGTGCCGCCGTCCAGGCCGCCATCTTGCACGGCGACAAGTCCGAGGAGGTGCAGGACCTGTTGCTGCTCGACGTCACGCCATTGTCGTTGGGTATCGAGACGGCCGGTGGTGTGATGACGGCGCTCATCAAGAGGAATACCACCATTCCAACCAAGCAGACGCAGACGTTCACCACGTACTCGGATAATCAGCCCGGAGTGCTCATTCAGGTAAGCAGAAACTAATGATTTACACTTCATTTCTCAGGTATTTCTCAATATTTTGTCCACGTCGGAAAAAATGGATACGCCTCATTGAAGGAATAGGTCACTTGAAGTTTGCTGATTTTCCACAGAATGAAATCTCGGGTGCGCCTCTAAAATTTCTTCGGGTGTGAAAGAATTATCGAAATCTCAAAATTTCTCATACACAATCATAAAAAAATGAAAAACTGAAGAAAAATGTTGATTCTTGTATCGATTTACTTCAAATAAATATTTTTCGAATTTCTAACCAAATTTTGTCATCTTATGCCTATGAAAAATTGATATCTCAATGAACAAAATTCGGTACGCCTATGAAATACTGATTGTAGGTCATCTATGTTGAAAAATTTTTAGGATCTCATTTCAAAATCACTTCAGAAATAAAATAAATGTCTTCTTCACCTTGTCCAATATCCAAACATTTACATTTATAACCTTGGTATCGATTGACTTCAAAGGAAGGAAGGACTTCAAAGGAAAAAGAATCTTGAAATACTGGTTGTGGGATCTTATTTCAGAATCGTTTCAGAAATTAATTTCTTTTTGACTTGGTCCAATATCTTTGTATTTACTCACGTACGCCCTTGTAAGTTTTTGTACCCCTGATAACAAAATATCTCCCGATAAAGAAATGGGTACGCAACTGAGAACACTAAGAATGAGCAGTTAAAAATTGTTTTACAAATCAAAGATTTCTAGGACAGATTACAGATTTGTTACAATTAAAAAATTTCAACACAAAGACAAGTATTCACTATTCATATAGATAGACAGTATATAAAATTGTATTTACACAAGTCAAATGTCATTACATAAAAGGAGACCTGTCCATTAAAAAAATAATTTCATCTAAAATGTTGAAAACTACACATTTAACATCAAACAAGGGAATGGGCGTGTACACCTTAGTAGAATTTTTAACTCTAACCATGTTTATAATGATCCTTTTTTACATAAATAATGATTGACGACATAACTTGATCGAAAAATTAACTGGAATGTTTTATTTTTGGACATGAATGATAGTACCTTCTGAAAACGGACCCTCTTATGACGTAGAAACCTCATCTCGACATAGTTGAAAGAAAATACCAAAAGCCCGACGGTGACTGAGGCAACTGATATATTGATTCTTTCAACTGTGATCTCGCGCTAATTCACTCTGTCAGAAATCATGTATCATTCATCTCTGTCTGGAATAGTCTTGTTTCAGTATTAGGGTTTTGACGTCACATCATCGCCTCGTTTTCAGAGGTCCGAAAAATCGGGAATTTCAATAATTTTTTATAAAACGTAGGGAGCTCACAGCAAAAAACGGTTTGCGGTGTTTAGCTAGTTTGAGTGAGTTCTATCGAATTATGAAATGAATTTTTTTTGTGATAAACCCATTATAAGGACACAAAATGATAGTTTAAAAACTCATCAAAGAATAAAATGCTTTTTCAGTAAAAAATTCTTGAGATTTTCTATGAATTTTGAACCTTTCATTTGTTCAAATTTGTTGAGTAAAAAATTTAAAAAAAAAACGTACAGCAAGGCACCTAGGGCCATCTTGACACGTTTCTAGTCTACAGAATTTGGGTTTCAAGTTTTTTTTGTTTCTTGTATCATGGTCATGATTATCCTGGTGAGTCTCTCCAATAGAACAATTTTAGTTGATTGATTTCAAAACGTCACAATTACAATCTGATTTCAAGTTAGTTGTTGGTTGCTTTTGTTTTTGTGAAGAGTTGGAAAAACATTTCGCGACTTTCTATAACCTCATTTCGTTTGTCGTAGGTGTACGAGGGCGAACGTGCCATGACCAAAGACAACAACCTGCTCGGCAAATTCGAGCTGACGGGCATCCCGCCGGCCCCCCGCGGCGTCCCCCAAATCGAGGTCACCTTCGACATCGACGCCAACGGCATCCTCAACGTCACCGCCATCGAAAAGTCCACCAACAAGGAGAACAAGATCACCATCACCAACGACAAGGGCAGACTGAGCAAGGAGGACATTGAGAGGATGGTGAACGATGCGGAGAAGTACAGGAACGAGGACGAGAAGCAGAGGGCGTGTATCTCGTCGAAGAACGCCTTGGAGTCTTACTGCTTTAATATCAAGAGTACCATGGAGGATGACAAGATCAAGGATAAGATCAGCGAGAGCGACAAGACCACTGTTATGGACAAGTGCAATGAGGTATGTTTGTTATGATGTGCATTTTTTATTTTATTCGGTCGTTGACTATGCGAGAACTTCAAAGTAACTGGTTGAATTGATTTATTTTGCTTATTTCATCACATTCTCAAGACCTCTATGGAACCGGTGCCAATTCGATGATTCCAGAGGATTTTTCAAAAAAAAATAAAACATTTACTACTCGTCATAAATAACTTATGAAAATTTATTTTATTTATTTATTTATTTATTTATTTATTTATTTATTTATTTATTTATTTATTTATTGAACAAATAACTTCCAGACAGAATAGGCTCTGGTATAAGGAAGTACGTAATTATATACCTATAGGTAAACATAGCATCATTCAAAATATATCAACAACTGTAAATTGGCAAACAAAGAATAATATTTGTTTAAAAAAAAAAAATGGCATGATTAATTTTATCCAGTCCGCTCAGAAATAATATATTCTATATATCTTTATTATTATTCCCAAGAAACATACATGTTTATAGCAGGGAAAATTATGAAAGAGCAACTAAAAAAAAAAAAATAGATAATCAGATAATCATTTTTAAATCATATACATAATACATATAATGTTGTTTCTTCTAGAGACTGTTAAATATAATTTCTTGAATTGATTCAGGATGACATGAAGAGAATCAAAGACATAAGTATTTTTTCAGTTCTTTTTTGAATTTCTCAACACTTAATTTTTTCTTTAGTCTGGCAGGTAATTTATTATAGAGAATTGTTCCATTGTATAAAATAGATCTTTTACCCATATCTGATTTAATTTTGATGAGAATTAACGTATCTTTTTGTCTGGTTATGTGTTCGTGTTTATGACTATTGACTTCAAAATTCAGATTTGAATGTTTATAATTATATTTGACGGAATGGATGAAATTCAATATTTTGAATTTGTAAATGGAGTTTATATCTAAGAATTACCTATATTTCTGCAATTTTTTATATTGTCAGGTAGTTTATTGAATTCAGTTAAGGCTGAATGAGTGAATCTTTTTTGTCCGATTAGGGAGCTATCGGCGTCAAGATGAAACAAGTTATATTTTCTAGTTTCATGATTATGAATTTCAGAATTCCGTATCAAAATAATATTCGACTTCAATTTTTTATTTATGGTATTATATGATATTTTAAGAGTTTCAATTCTATATATTTCAATGAATATAACAAATTTTAAAACATAATAATACATCCATAACCACATACTTTTTGAAATTATTAGTTATTGTGAGGTACAAATCATGATAAAAGAATAAAGATGAACATGGCGGCACCGCAAAGTTTCATAGGAGATGAGCAATAATCATTGTAAACATCTGTAGTTTTTGTTTTAATTGATGATTTTTCGGCAGTTGTGTGATCAGTTTTCGGTGTTTCAGCAACTCGGACTATTATGAACAAATATTCGGCGGTATCAAATCGGTAAATATCCTAACCTGATATTTCACAGGTACATACAAATTTGGTCCAGTGCCGGTCTTGTTTGATAGTTTGCTTTCATTGATGAAAAACATGTTCAACATTTTGACAATGATCAAATATCCCCACAAAGACGAAGATCATAACATTCTCTGGCAGTGATTCCGCGGAGTTATCCCCACCATTCGCGATTTCATTCATTCATCTGTATTTGGCGTTTAGGGAGTATTGACGGATACTGTTGAATGATTTGTAAATGAATCGCAGTGTCTTTTGTCATTTAGTCTGAAGCAAGAATATTAATTTCTAGAAAAAATCTATGACGTTCAGCATAATAAGAAAAGCCAGAGGATTTTTTTTTTGAATTTTATATCCCTAGATTTTACAGAATGAATTCCCAACTTACTATTATTATCATATTTTCACTTTCTGATGTTCGGCCTGAATTTGCGGTAGTCCAAAAGCCGGCTGCAAATTTCGACTATGTTCCGATGACGCAATGTGCTAAAGGCATGAAAAACGTTGTATTTTAACGAACGGTTCCTGTGCCAGTCACTATCCTGAGCAAAATCATTGAAATCCACAACACATTTGCTGCCATTATTCCGGACATACTTCCGTCATGTGATAACTAGTTGAAACAAAAAGTAAATGAAAGGGGATACCCAAACGTGCCGCGTTAGTGGTAAAGCGTCAATATTTCCGAGAATATTTCGCCCCCTCTCGGAAAGATAATAAAATGGACCAGATGTGTATTCAAATACTTGTGATGCGAGCGAGTTTTACACTGGTCCATCGGATATTATCGTTTGACTGGGGCTGGGAAATATTGACGTTCTACCACTAAGAACAGTTTGAATCGCGGCACGTTTCGATTTTCGTAAATGGTGCATTATCCCTATTTATTTGTTCTTTGTTTCAACTCGTTATCAACATGACTGAAGTTTGTCGGGAATAACAGCAGCAAATGAATGCTGTGGATTTTACTCAGATAGGGCGTGTTTTTCATTCCATCGAAGAAAGTGCGCACTGATAAATGCGGTATTTTGTCGTGACGTCACCAATTGTTCTGTTGGAATTTATGCTGGAAGGATTGAACAATGGTTTATACAACACATTAATGGAAACACGGATTTTGTTGTGTGTCAGTCATCATGTATCTTGAGAATCAGAAAAGGCTAGACTTTATTGATTAACACTGACTCTTTCTTCTAAAATCTCTCAAGAATCTCAAAAATCCTCAATATTAATTGTTTTCTATCAAATCAAAACAAAAAACAACACTAAAATGTGTCAACTGTCATGTCAGTCTCCTCCAAACTGCTGGATTCTCGAAATGCGATTCAAAAGTGCGCATTTTATTACAACAGTTTGATGGATGTCCATCAACATTCCAGCGGAATTTTGCAACAGTTTGATGGTTTCTTCGATTCATGCGCATGATAAAATGTTGGAATGAAAAACGCACCCATGGGCTGCACAGGTAGATTTTTGAGATCTACGATTCAATTGGTATCCTATGACATAATTCTGATCTCGTTGTCAAATCGCGAAATTAAATGATAAGTAACTCACAGGAACGTGGTCATTTTTCATTTTGTTCAGAATAGTGTTTGGACCAGGTGCCGTTTGATAAAATACAATGTTAACATGCCTTTGAAACATAACATTTCATTATCAGATAACGTTCGAAATTTCGCAGTCCTACTTGATAGTACTTCAGGATGAAAGTATCATTGTAGAAGAGAAAACTATAACAAAATGTTTGATTGAATGATTGTTTGATTACAGGTGATCGCTTGGTTGGACGCTAATCAACTGGCCGACAAGGAGGAGTACGAGCACAAGCAAAAGGAGCTCGAGAACATCTGCAACCCGATCATCACCAAGCTCTACCAGGGCGCGGGCGGTGCACCAGGAGGCATGCCCGGATTCCCAGGCGCTCCAGGGGCCGCTCCGGGAGCCGGGGGCGCTGCTCCCGGTGCTGGAGGCGCCGGACCGACCATCGAAGAAGTCGATTAAAGCGTTTTTCATTGTTCACGTGTTACTTGCAGACAAAGCTTTCATTCAATACTTTTTTACTTTTTACTTTTTGTTGTTTCGATACCATCAATGCCGCTGTCGCGGCGAAACTACTACTACTACTACTACTACTACACTACTACTAGTACAAGACCTTTTCGGTTAATAAATTTCAAATCCAACTGAAATTGTTTTTCATTTGTCTGAATATTATTTCCTTATTCAAATAACAAAATCTCCTGTTCCCATTGTTACGTCTTCGCTTTTGCTGCTTGGCATTCACTGTTGGGTAGTCTGAAGGGGTGCTTCGGATCCTTATGATAGTTTGATTTGAATAGATCCGGCTCGAAGGACCAATATGTTCGATGCTTTTAGATAGTGGACATGACAATGAAATACAGATGAATCGTTTATGATAGTATGATTTGTATAGATCCGGCTCGAAGGACCAGTATATTCGATGTTAGTTAGATAATGGACTGTATTTGTATGGACATAACAATCAAATAGATATTGATACGAGAATTTCGATTCGAATTGCCAACCTTAATTGATTTTATTGATAAATCTTATGTTTCAACAACACGTCATGTTAGAAAAGCCGGCGGGGCTGGACTGGCGTGGCATTCTCTCGATTTTCTTCGTCGTTAGTGATTCTTTCAATCTGAACTAACTGAAATATTTCACTGGAACTGAACTGAATAGGTAAACGGGCGTTCTTTCGAAGGACTGATATAGAATACATGTTTAGCGATTCAGTTCCAGTGAAATGTATCTGTTTAGACGGAAACAATATCACTGTTGTTTTGGTGTTACTTGTAGCATCTTGCAGACAAAGTTTTCATTCATTACTTTTTCACTTTTTTGTTGTTTCCATACCGGTGCCGCTGGCGCTGCGAAACTGCTAGTACAAAACCTTTCCCGTTAATAAATTTCAAATCCATTTAAGATCGTATTTCATTTGATTGAATTCACATTTCCTTATTCAAACAATAACAAGGTTTCTTGCCCCAATTGCCAGCTAGAGCGAGACAGTACTGTTTCGGGTAACTAGGACTCATCAGTCGCATTCGATTTACTGACAATTGGCACGATTCGATTCGGAAGTCACTTGGCTTGATGCTACAAGTTGTGGTTCATCTTTTACTAATCCACACCCTGGCTCAAATACCAGGAAATAACAGTATCAAATGCGCGAACGTTCTTAATTTTTGACGTTTATAGAAAAAATACAATGAATTTCAAAATTTCGAAGACCATAACTTGTGGGTTGCAAATTTGAGAATTATTGTTAATATTTATCCAAAATTTCATAAGGTTTGAACAGTCAGGTATAATTTACTTTACAACTTTACATTTGTACACTCTCAATTATATTGAAGAAAAATATGATTGATAAACGAGACCAACTGCCGTCGTTGCAAAATACAAAAAACAACACCACCACGTCGAAAATCCAAACAGCCCTCGGAACACAGTTTTTGTAAAAATCTGTAAAAAAGAAACAGTGATTATTCAATTCCCTCAAGAAACCCATTTTCTTACCATTTTTATACTCTCCAGAGTAAACTGAATATCTGCAGCAGATTGTGAAACGGTTTTCTCCTCCTCAGATTGTGAGAAGGGTTCCAAAGAAAGTTCATCAGTTTCTGCAGTCAAAGGACATTCATCCAGACCAGCTGAATCTTTGAAAAATCCAGTCCAGGAATATTCACCTAGACTTTTGAACATGAATGTCATAAAAATGCATATGATGATTGGTGCTATATATTGAAGGGTCACTACACTGAGATAATAGAAAACCGAGGCTATCTGTAAAAAAATTTAAAAGTCAAGGTTTTCCAGAAAAAAAAAAATTATTACCTACCTGTTTCTGCAAGTCAATATTTGTTATCCTTCCAGCTTCCTTTTTTTGATTTTCAAGGCGATAATAAGCCATATCCAGATAGGCTTGTAGATACCAAGGCATCAAAATTATTTTCAAACACATAGTTGAAATAATAGCAACCAGACGAAGGGATTCAAAAGTATCCTCTGATAATCTAACAAACATACAATGAAGCAAAACATTCTTCTAAATGAATTCCCAAAACTTACAGAGGTTCAGATCTCCCTGAAAATATCCTAACAGTCAAGTAATCTCTAGTAATAGGTTTAATCCATAGGATTACTAAAATAAATGGCAATGCAAATGTTACATTGAGTAAAACCTGTTTCAATTTATCCTCTCTGAAATATCTGTAAAAAATGCCCATAATATCATGCAAAGATTGTTCAAACTATTTCAGCTATAGAATACCTACCTGAGTAAATCCCAATGAGTTTTTGCAATCCTGAGCCCTGGGAAAGTGAAGAAAGACCCTAAAACTCCACACCACACTGCTATGAAAAATTTTATAACAATTTTTGATGCTGGCCCAGTGGATGACAACCCTTGATTATCTAGAAAAGTTGAGGCTGTTTCATTGAAGCTGTTATAAGCACTATCCAACCCCACTTCTAGAATATTCTCATCCACTATCATCACCATCATGGCTATCAAAAGATAAATAAACCCCATCACAATACAAGTAGATCTTTCTCCAACAGATTCTTCACCCTTGAAATACTGTACAGTGAGGCTCAGAAGCAGTTTCCTGTTTTCTTAGTTAAGGATTTACACTCTTCATCATAACTTCTTGTTTGCTTTGGAAAAAAGGATACATAGCAAACAGCACAACAAGAGAGCACCATATCATACTCAAATTCACTTCATCTTTCAATGGAAAAAATGAATGATAAATCTCAGTGGTCAGGAAAACTGTTGCTGCATATAGAGAGAAGTCTACAAGCCACTGATACTCATTGTAATAACGCAAGTGAATAACATCCATAGAGGTGATTTTGATGGAATCCAGCTTGATATCCAGAGACCTAGGTACATGGAAAGTGTCCACAGGGCTCTTACCATTCGTTGGAGTCCGGCCGTTTCTCTTTGGTTTAGCTTTCTCTTTGGGTATGTTTGCTAGCTGTCTCAGCTCACTGTCTGTAGGGTACAAGTAGCGAACGAGACCAGTAGAGCATAGTAGCCACCTAGCTATAGAGAAATGGGAACCTAGTTTCTGGATAACGCTGATCATGATAAGGGTTATCACTAGCTGAGCCCCAAGTAGTGCCTAGAATATTATTTTTTTGGAGTTATAAATGAAAACTTGGTCTAGTTATCTTACCATTTTACTTCAATAAGTTTTGGTACACGATTAAAAGCTTATGAAATCCATGCTATTGTGATATTTATAGAAATTCAGGCTCTTTTTGGTTTCAGGTCAGGACATATGTCTCAGTTGACATAACCTCAAAACCTCATTTAAAATCATTTAATTCATGATTCATGCTTTCTTTTCAGGATGCATTTCGAGAAAACTACAAATTACTCCACTAATTCATCACATAAATGTTCTTTTAAATGAAAAGGCACATTAACCACTTAAAATTCCGAATCAGTGCCAAAAAATGACAGTTTTCAAATAGATGTCATTTTTCGCCGGATTTGACCACATTTGACCGCTTAAAAGTATTCTAATTAGGTAACACGCGTCACGCTGTGTATTTAATCATTTTAATTAGCGGAACAACAAGCCTTGAATCATGATAAGTTGTTATTTGTTTGCATAAACCAGAGCATTATCGGAATTCCAGTAGAGACACTTCTTCCCCAAAAGTGAGGTTGGGTTCGGAAGGTTAGGTCCTTCAAAATGACTCTCAGGGCTATAAAATACGAGAACAACAATTTAGAAATACTGGACCAGCTTCTCTTGCCTGCCCACTCCAAATACATCCAAGTAAAAGGAGTTGAAGATGGCTGGAAAGTTATCAACAAGATGCAGGTAAACATTTTCATATTATTCCCCTGCAAGCCTTCAAAGCTCCTTTCTTAGGTCAGAGGAGCCCCAGCTATAGCCATAGTAGGTTGTCTGAGTCTGGCCGTGGAGATCAGAAACGAGAAATACGAGAGCAAACGGCAAATGAGGCAGGAAATTGAAGGTAAGCTAAACTACTTGGTATCATCTAGACCAACAGCTGTTAACATGAAAATCGCTGCCGAAGAGATGCTTGAACTAGCCAATAAACTCAGCGAAGATGCCTCCATAACTGTTGATGATATGAAATCAAAGTAAGATGCAAGAAAACATTGATAGAATTTTACTGAATTTGTCTTATGAGCTAGGTTCCTACTAACAATAGAGCATATGCTGGAGAAAGACATATCAGATAATAAAGCTATTGGTGATAATGGGGCTAAGGATATATTGTCTCATGTCTCTGGGGACAGCCTTGTGAGGATTTTGACTCATTGCAATACTGGGTCTTTGGCCACTGCTGGTTATGGCACTGCCCTAGGAGTTATCAGAACTCTGCATGCCATGAAGAGGCTGGGTAAGACACAATTTTTCTATTTTAGCATGACATTTTTTTCAGATATAGGTCCAAATATGGTTTTGCAATTTATGACTGAAATTGAGACAGTATTTTGGTCATGTTTGCATGGTAAGAGGTCAAAGTTTGAACTTGAGTAGGATTTATCATGTTTGGCACCTAAATTATCTTGGGTTTGTAATTTGTGGCATAATAAATCATCAAAATATTGTAACATGAATGGAAAAACATTGATAGATATTTCCTCTTAATTCATTCAGAAAAACATGATATTTACTAGAAATGGATTTTGTGAAGGAAACTATTGAAATTTCTAGAGATTGATTGGCCTTCAATTCTTTTGAAGATTTTTTCTCAGACGATAATATAATCACATTCCAAAATTTCATCAAAAGTTGTGATACTTCCTCTACAACATACTGAAATTGAAAAGCAATAGAGAATAGTGAAAAAGTACAGTGTCTTATGCCTTATTGCCCCATCTAAGTGATTTATAAATTTTATGCTCAGAAGAATCAGAAAAATGATTTATAATCTCTATCTTGTAAGTAATAATGTTACTAGGGTCAATAGGAAATTTGGATATCCTTAAAGAAAGTTCAGTCCCTTGTTTTGAAAAATAGAAGTAAGAGTACATAAATATACAAGTTGACACTATGGTCAGTTCATAGAAATCATATTTAATTTAGTCCATTCCTTATTGGAAATAGAGCTGTTAAATTTAATTAAATATAAATGAAATTCTATGAACAGACCAGTGTCTTGGAAAGACTGAAAAAAAAATGAATCCTAAATAATCCTTAAGAGGATAAATCTATTAAGAGGAGACACTGAAATGTATAGGGTGTTGCTACTATGGTTCACAGGTGATAGTCCTTGTGAACAACAAAGGTTAAGACACAAGGTCTTCAAGTGCTCAGTTTTTTAGTTGTGGGTGTTTAAGTTGGAAAATAAATATGTATTAGTTTTTCAATAACACAGAAAAGGTTGAATTTTTTGCATTCAAATTCGGTGGTAGATGGTTTGAGAATGGCAGAGAGGAGGGAAGGGTGATGTTCCAAGAGGCCTTTGATAAAAGTCTATTTACATAATAAATTATCATATTCATAACATAGTGGTATTTTGCTAGACTATTTCACATTCATGGAACATAAAGAGCATTTATTATAAATGTGTGATTCATTCTGACAAGTACAGCCATAATTTATATTATGCCAGACTGACAGACTGCTTGGCTATCCATGGTCAGACCAATCAGAATTGAAAAATAGCTCATGTTTTCACAATAAGCACATGTTGTCTCTGGCTTGTGATTGGTCATATTATGTGATGATTCAAGTCTAGTGTTGACTAAACATCGATTGTTTTGACTATCGACAGTTTTTGATAGTGTTTAAAAGAACAATCGATATATCAATAGTTACTATCGATATTTTTATCCGAGAAAATGTGAGGTTAAAACAAAAAATTTGATGAAATAATAAAATTTTATTGAACGCTTTCTACACTTTTGGCACAATATAAGTTAATTTAGTCTAATTTGTTTTCTTAGGTCTACAAAAATTCTGCAGATTCAAAGAAAAATCAGTTTCCAATTACATCTACTTCAGTTTTACGCTATCGATACTATCACTACACACTATCGATGGTTTTCTATAGTCAGAACCAGGATGAACAGAACATGTTGTAGAAACTCCTATCAAATCCCATTTACTGTTTTTCGGTCAAAGTTCTTGACCTATTGAGTTTTAATGCTAAGCAATGTGCCACCTGACGGCATATATCACGTGATCATCAAGTGTGATTATTTGGTAGTAGAATCTAAGGTTATAACAATTGTTCATTCAATTATGTGACTGATTATCATATGATCATTCGTTTATACAACCGAATATGGTAGAAACATATCTTCGGAGTCGTTCTGGCAAAATTAATATTTTGACACATCACACTTGGCGTCAAAAACATATCATTTTTGACAGAATGACAGCGCGGGAAAATGAAGGTTAAAATCCCAATATACGGCCTACTTGACAGGATTCTCTTCACTATCGCGGAATATAGGTCGCATTTCACCCGTTAGATGGCGAAATCTGAACCAAAATTCAAAGTTGGTGGAACTGATAATAATTAAAATTTCCCAAAATTACAGTTTTGTACTTTCAAATTTATTCTCATTTGAGTTGATGTCATGTTATGATATTATTATTTCTGGTGCAAGCGATGTGTAAGCGCAGTTTTCTGTTTTGAAAGGAATCTGTAAAGTGTCGCCATCGTGCGGACAACTGAGAACCAATATGCCATTATTGCGGAATCTGCGGTCAAGCGTTTTGGGAGAAATGAAACACTGTCTGTGATAACACCATAGTCTATTCACCTGGGTCAGAACTATCGGATATATCGATAGTTGCAATCGATGTCTAGACAACACATGAGTGAAGTAGTCTGCTGATTTCTGTTTTGTAGAGCACGTGTATTGCACGGAAACGCGGCCGTACAACCAGGGCGCCCGATTGACTGCTTACGAGTTGGTCCACGACAAAATTCCCGCCACTTTGATCGTCGACAGTATGGTGGCCGCCCTGATGAAGCACAGGAACATTTCTGCTGTGGTCGTCGGAGCCGATAGGGTATCTATTTAATAATCCATTCCCTACATTCGTTCATTCATGATCCTTGATTATTTACACTAACAAGATGAACATTCCGTATGAGAGCAATGAAACCGGAAATTTTATTCATTAGGCGGCGGTATCTATAAGCAGCACGGTGAACTACTTTTTGTTGTGTAGCATTGGGTAGAGATCGGTCATGAAGAATAATTCGGAGTTTTTCATGTTTAGATGTTTTTTTGTGCAAGAAGAAATGTCCCATCAGGGCCGGATTAAAGTATTGTTATTATTTAAAAGTCAGAATATCAAAGTTAGTGATTTTCCTGCGTCAGAAAGGAGGATATTCTTAGATAGTTCAGCAATTTGCAGATAGATGGAGACGAGCAGATTCCGAGACTATTGTAAGCATGATTTTGAGTAGTTATCTTTGGTCTCTGGATCTCTGATGGATGAAGGGCAATGAGGAAACTCCGGTGAACTAGCAATGTACTATATTCGTAACATTAACATATACATAGCTTCACAAACAGAACAATAAGTACTTTTATGAGGTCACTTAGAAAATACTTGAAATACAAATGAAGAATTTATCTCAAAAACTTCTTGGGTCTCTTTCGTCCGTTTCGTCTCTAATCACTCCCTTCACGTCACTTTTCTCCTTCTCTCTATCTTCCCTTCTTCTTCTTCTTCTTTCTTTTTGCTGTTTTGATAGCGCCGCCTACGAACCAACCGAGAACTAAAGCCTAATTTTGCTTCAACATTTCACAAGAGGGGTGGATTATCTTGTTAGTGTAAATTAGGGTCCCTTGATGTAAATTGAATTTGTATTCTTTACAGGGTACGGACAGATTCTTGTCTTCTCTCCATCTTTATTCATTTCTGGGGATAAACACTAGATTCCTGACATTTGTTGTTTTTTAGGTTATATTGAGGACATTGGCGTATCATGCGTAATTTCCACATGTAATTTCTCATTAACTCTACATATTATATCCAAATAATGATGATAATTTTCGAGTTTTTGAATTTTCAACTCCAGCATTATCTTTGTGAGGTAATGAGCAAATTTTTCTGGAAGTCTAATATGTTTTACCAAATGGGACTGTCATTAGGCACTACCTATCAATAGATGAATTTTGATTTCAGACTAAGCCTTATGGTTGAGAAATGGTGGAAAATGTTATGTAGGTATTCAAACTAATGTTTTGCATTTGCATTTGATGGGAAGCTGACAAATTCAAATTTGCCATCCAACTGATTGATACAGCCTAACGCAGCACATTTTACCATCCTTCCAAAACAGAATTGAATAGCATCATATTAAGATCAAGTATGAAATTGAAATTTTGTAAGATCTCTTTTAACGCCTATGAATGTGACGTGACAGCAATGTCATGTCAGGGACGCCAATACACGAAACCAAAGTAACTAGATGAATAAAAGAGAAAGGAGTTATGATCTGTCCGTACCCTATTAGATGACAAATACGTCAGTTTTCATCAAGGGACCCTAGTGTAAATAATCAAGGTTCCCAATCGAGAATTTATGAGATGAATTTGGTATCTTGTACTATTTATTTATTTATTTATTTAAATGTATTACAATATTTTGTATTACAATATTACAATATTTTTTGATTTTATTACAATAAAGGGATATACTTATAAATTAACATTGAACACAGGACTAGGTGACTAAGTATGACTTTTTTAAAATGAACATAATCAAAATAAAGATCGGATACAGTTTCTGTTCAATTCAAGATGGCTAGAAAAAAATCATGTAATGTATATATACACAGGTCCAAAAATATTCAATATGCTTCCAAATGAGCTGAAAAATAAGCCCTTTCATTCAATTAAAAAAAAGTTCATAATTGGATTCTCGAAAACAACATAACGTGGTTCATTGGATAATCTCATGGTCATTTGATAGTATATCGCATCTAACTCTTCTCACGTTAAACAGAATAAATAATATAACAAATGAAAAAATATATAAATATATATATTTGCAATATGCGTAGGTACTTATAAAATATGTATAATCATTGAAATGTGTAAATTACATAAAACTGCACACACAGACTCTGAAGTCCATCGTGCAGTAATATAAGTATTATTCATGTTACAAATGTTAATGTATAGTACCTCATATCAGATTTGTCCAAGTATCTTAGCATGCATGCCAAATTATTAGTTTCTAGAAACAAATTTTTATGTTGACGTTACTTAATGTAATGTAATTTTGAATGTTGAATAATTATAAATTGTAAACTGTAAAACTGTAAATTATAAACTGTAAAACTGTAAATTCATTTTGGGTGAAATATGGATTAAGGAATGATTTTTGAAATTGGTATATTTAATACATATCAAAGACCCATTCCAAAGAAAATAGCATTTTTAGGAAACAAATATACTTTTCATCAATATTTTAATATTTTGGCAGGAATATTGATTTCAACAGCAACTTTGAGATTACCTACTTTTAGAATGAACATTTTTAGCTTTTAGTTGAACATATCAACGACTTGGTGTATTATGTGAAATAATAAGACATTTGATTTGCAACAAGCTATTGCTTGTTGCAAATCAAAAACTGCTCTGCTAGTGCCAGAATTGAATTACCTTTGCAATGGGGAAGTTTCCTATATTATGGTTTTTATCTCACTGTGAAGTTTGTGAAAAATTAATATACATATACATATTTTCTCTTTCTTTCGTAAAATCAGATTTCACTTCAGGAAAAAATGAATAAAAGAGGAACTTGGCTCCTCCACCATTCCACTATTTCAATAATCATTGCGTTGTGTCGGAAAAGGGAAAGATGATTTGCGATACCATATGGTCTCCGTGGGCGTAAATGGGTTAACATGAGCTAAGGGACCATATCCGATATTTTTAGCCATCAATTAAACTACACCTTTTATGTGTTTTTTGTGAAGGTGGCTGCCAACGGAGACACGGCCAACAAGATCGGCACGTACCAGATAGCCGTGTTGGCCAAGTACCACGGGGTGCCTTTTTACGTGGCCGCCCCTTTCACCTCCATCGACATGAAGATACATGGTGGAGAGCACATCGTCATCGAGGAAAGACCCGACAGAGAGATGACTCACGTCGGAGAACACCGGATCGCCGCCAAAGGTAAAGAAAAATAAATCGGTATATAATAGTACATTATACATCCAAGGACAGTGTTTTGCATTTGACACCTTTATATACAAATTTGAACTCAAACTTCGAATCAGCAAACATGAAATAATTAGCTTCACTTACCATTGCCAATTGGCGTCTTAGCGCGGATTCTTCCGACTGGGCCCAGTTCACAGCTTCCAATATTTATTTCCGACTCACAATTAGTCTGAACACATTAGAAAAATAGTGCTATTGACTATGCATCACATTTCCAAATTACTGGAAAGTTTATTAGAAGGTTAATCGCCACACACCATAGATCCCTTCTGTTCACCTACACCACTCAATGCAGACTCCTTTAGAATTCTTTTACACGAATTATTGTTCTAAGAATTGGCGCGCGAATTGTGCGGCATTCCATTCTATTGGTTCACGTGACCAATAACAACAACAAACGGAGGGAAGCATGTTTTCAAGTGTGCTGATTTTGCCGCGAATATTCAAAATTGAATTCAGAATTAAGAATACGAAACAGACAGAAATGCAAGTTTTTCTAAGGTGCGATTTGTAGCTCGAGGGCGAAGCGAAGTTCGGAACTCTCCAGTTTTATGTCCACGCTGTACAGAATGACGACCGATGAAGTCCAAGTCGTTTTCATTTTCAAAATAAAGCAATTTCTAATTTTCGCGGCGGTAAACTGTGATGTATATTCTGAATCTAGTCTGAAAATAGCTGATGCTGAAGAATATAGCTAGCGAATAGCTACCGAATGAAAAACGATAAAAAAAATGAATAAAACTGGTAAACAAAAACATACATAACCACAAATGCACTCGGACCAGGAATGCAGAAGGTAGTTGGCTTCATTCTGACAGGTTATGGTTTTGTTATTCTTGCATTGAAATATCTCGAATAGAGCTCGATCCTAAACGAAAATATCATTGAATCAATGCATCACTATCGGCTACATTCAATGATACTATCCTTCCTAATTTACTGCCATCGGTCAGAACAGAATGAAGCCGACACCCATGGCTCCTTCCTCTTGTTGTGCCTGTCAGTATTTTGAGTGGTGTGGACGGACTCGAAGTATTAGGCGCTGTTGCGAGATATAATCTGCAACTTTCCTAGGAAATAGATCCGTTTTATCAAGGAACAAAATCATTAGCAAAAAAATGATTGACAAGTTATGAATAACATATTGTAATATAACGATTGTGAAAAATTATAGATACTATCGCAAAAAATCATTATTTATAATACTTGACGATGTAGGATTGAAGAACCTATTATATCCTATTGCTGTTATGATGTAGTTATTATGCATTTAAAGAACAATTTCCGGAAATATAGACATATTAATGATGTCGGCAACGTCGTACTGGCACAGGGAATCGTATTTTAACTCTGTGTGAATGTGGATTTTCAGAAAGTAAGTCATAGGAATGGCGGAGAAGCCAAGTTCCTCTTTTATTTATTTTAATCTGAAGTGAAATTTGATCTTACGAAAAAAAGATTAAATTCATATAATATATTAATCTTTCACAAACGTCACAGTGCGATTGAAACCTCAATATAGAAAACTTCCCCATTTTCGTTGTATATTCGGATGGCTTATTGGCTTACCCAAATGTTTCAGTACATGTAATTCAAATAATAACAGAAGCATAGTAAACGATGAATATTGAACCTAACCTCAATATAAAAAAGGTTGGAATTGTCTTCTTCCCCTTTTTTTCTCATTTCCAGTGTTGCCAACAAAAAATTTTCATTATGTTATGTTGGAACACTGAAGACAAGGAAAGATTGGGAAGCCATTTTATTCCTCTCTCAACGCTAGCCAAACTACTCTATTGAAAACAGTTTCAAAAAATATTTTATTCATCAAATAGTTCAGCTTTCTTCCTCAAATATTTCTGATACGGCCCGGAGGACCCTGTCGTCCCTGACGAGCCTTCACTGAATATAATAAATTTCATACGAGGCGAAATAAAAAAGTTGTGGTATAAAATCTGACTCTTGACTTCAAAAAAATACCCACTGGATGATTTTTTCGATTTGGGTTATCAAGTTTCTTTTGGATTGTAGGTATTGCTTGTTGGAACCCCGCTTTCGATGTGACACCCGCCTCCCTGATTGCGGGGATCATTACAGAGAGGGGCGTTTACAGGCCGGACCAGTTGAGGGAGCCCCCCACCCATTGACGTCATTTTCGAATTTGGAATCGTGATTTGTTTTTATATACATATAGCAGTCTAATGATTGAAGATATCAGAATGTTCACCTCCTATGCCTGACTATGTCTATTATAGTATATGTGGAGGATTTTTCTCAAATTAAAAACGTATTTTTGGAAGCACTTACAGGAATATTTTTTAGCGTGTAATGTTTCTATGGGAAATAGCTGATTTGATGTTTTGCCCAGAAGGGCCCGATGTGGGTCCTTTTCTGCTAAATACGTTAGTTTTCAATTCCAATCGGAAATATAAGTTGATTATTTTGGTTCTGAAAATAACCTAAAATGATATGAAGAATGTAGTTTATTGTTAGTGATAAAAATTTCTGTTTATGTATTTTTTATAGTGCTGTGTTTTATTTCTTTCCTCCTTGGGTTACACTAGAAGAACGTCAAGGGTGGGGCCAGAAATCAAACTTCTAAGTTGAGCGGCCAAAAAAAAAATGCACCGAAGAAGAAAATTTGTTCTTGAAACGGATGATAACAATGAAATTTCGAAAAAAAATATTGATCATGGCTAAAACTGGGTCGGAACACATTCAACTATGATTGTATTCAGAATTAATGAATCTTTCAGATTCTGTGAAAAACATTAGAGGACCGTATTTGAAAAAAATAATAAGTTGATGATGGTTCTACGAATACGAAACGTCGCATAGAGAAATAAGTATCACCACGTGAATCTCATCTCTGTGTATCTTCATTAACATATGGAAAAATCCCTTTCTCGATATAACCTTAAAAGTATAAATTATTTTGGAAATTTTTAAAGACGGTTATTGTGAAATGCCACTTCTTTCCAGTCAACTAAATTTGTATCTTCCAGGGTTTCATTCTGTACAATCTTGTCTTGGACACGCCACTGTATCAGATATTTTGGAAAACATATTTCAGTCTTTTTTTCATGTTTCTGGAAGAATCTGTTCCAATTCTCAACATCATAATGCGGAAAATAATTCAGGGCAATTGGTTTTCTATTCGTTTCCTTCTATTGGCACTTTTCAGATGATTCTATCAATTAGTTTTCAATTCATCAATTTCATACTAGTTACTGAATATTTACCGATCAAAAGTTAGATATTGACTATACAAAAATGTCAACCACACCTTCTGCTTTTTTTGTGTGTGATTGAAAACATTTCGACACTCCTTTTTCACCTATATACCTACCCGGATTTTCTGGTATAATTTCTTGCATGTCCAGGAGCAGTAAATCCGAAACCCACTAAATCAGCCCCACGGCCATGAGAATAAACAGCTCAGCAACTGATGAAATGACAACTAAAAAGTAATTTTATCAGTAAATTGAAGAAATACCCATTTATAGATAGCCAAACTGTAAAAAAGGGAAAAATAAAATAATAAAAGTGTTGATATACAAGGTGCACCAGAACAAACGTACCATAAATTCTACAGGGTGAACTGGAGACCAAAATAGGCCGATTGAAATCAACTTACCACAATAGAAAATGCATCGTTGAGTCGTGAGAGGACGATGAAGAACCATTTTACCATATACAGGGTGGCATTGAAATAAGTGCAAATATTTCAAACACTGAGAAAGCTCGACGTGTAGGTACTATCGAATGGCACTAATAAAAAAATTTAGGGATTAGAATTGAATTTGAGGTTAGACCCCTTTTTTCACCCAAAAGTTCTACACTGTAGCAAATCTGAAGTCACCTCTGTTCAAATATTTCATGCGCGGTAGGCAATGATTTGAATTGTTTTGAAGTGGCTTACTTGATTATTTTCTCGTATTTTGTTCAATTTTTGGGATTAAATTTCTCGTTAATAAGAAGAATTAGAAAAAATCTGATATCATGGGAATATTCCTTAGATTGTATCATATTAATGTGCTGAATATGTGCACTTATAAAAATACCTTGTAAGTCTCCTAAGTTGACGATGATCAATACGTACATGTAGGGTTCTGTTTATTGTTAATAAGAATTGAAAAATGCCATTCTTTCTTGAAACACTCGTATCTCCTCTTAACCACCACCAACCAATGGAAACTAATATTTAGGCTAACATCATTCCGGAACATTATGAATCTACGATCTGATCGAAATTTTAGAAAAAAAATTTTTGGTGGCCATTTTTTTTGCCAGTGAGTGTATATCTGAGTTCATTTGATTTCATCAACGATGTGTTCAACAATAGGCTGATGGTTGACTATATGTGACGATGCATTAATGAATTTTTTTGTATATTTACGATTTGAATATTCTAGTGACTTCAACTGTGGACCAGTGTATATTTTCCTAGGGGTGAATTTGTGCCGTTCCTGACATTTACACCTCGCCCTAGAGTCTTCATCATTGAAACCTTGCCCTGGAAGTGCTATTCTATTTATAAAGGCCCTTTATTAAACGATCCGATAATGGATCTTGTTTCAAAAGTCTCGAATAATCATAAAATATGTCGACATGAATATACATGATAATACGAAGATTTTTTTTAGCCTAAACCAGAAAAAAATCCAACACCTACCTCCTCTCCTCATAGGTATATAGGAGGTTCTTCGAACATCATAGGAATTTCCTTTCGTGCGCTCCAAGAGATTGAAAAACATATATATGTTTGTATTTTTGTGAAATACAATCCTACTATGGTTTCCATTTGAAATTGCGAAGTTGGCTTTGATAGCAAACAATTGATGAGCGATTCTACGTCAAAAAGGACCTGTAGAGCTTTAACCGTTTGGAAAAATATCCAAAATTGAAGACGTCAAGACATTTTTTCGAAATCGGTCGAATGTAAATTTCGTTTATATCTCGGAAACGGTCCGAGATATCAAAGTGTGATTTTAAATAGATGTTTCCACATAACTCAAGCCCTAGGCGTCTATGTCAGTTTTTTTCTACATGTGTACTGGTAATGAAGAAAACTGACCAAATTAAGCAATTTGGCACACCCTGTATATGATTGCAATATAGGTTGCTATTGAAATACATTAGGGTTTCGATAGTCAATAGAAATTATTGAAATTTTTGGCGAAAGAAATTTTTTGTATTTTTGGTGAATGCGAAGAATAGATATTTTGGCGATAGTCAATAGAAATTATTGAAATTTTTGGCGAATGAATTTTTTTGTATTTTTGGTGAATGCGAAGAATAGATATTTTGGCGTAAACGACTCTAGTTTCGGATGGAATGTTGAGCTATTGAGACACAACACTAGGTGTTTCGTTTATTTTCAAACGTCTCTAGACATAATCTATAATCATTTGGAAAATGAAACATGGAACATTATTTTGCCCAAACACAGCATAATTACCTACCACATAATTCAATTAACACTTGGTAGTACACCTCCACACGTGCTGATAAAAAATTGAAAAGCCGCAGGGACAAAACCTCGCGTGTCATAAAACCAGAATAAAAACGTTTCCATAATTATACAGTGCATAATTAAACGTATAAACGTATTGGCGTTTCCAATCTGAATTAAGTAGGTTGGTACCTATATACCTACCTGGAGTTGTATAAATTCAGTGACGGATGTGAAAAATTACATAGTGCATAATCAAACGTATAAACGCATTGGCGTTTCCAATCTGAATTAAGTAGGTTGGTACCTACACCTATATACCTACCTGGAGTTGTGTGAATTCACCAATTCAGTGACGGTTGTGAAAATAGGTACCTATCTACATCATCAATTTCACGAGTTTCAGCTTTCAGATGTTGAGGAATGATGAGGATTCTCAAAAAGTCGAATTTGATGCCAATAAATTGTATTGTTTCAGTCTCCCTTCTGAATAGTTCCAGTAAACTGTAGTCTCTCATCAGTTTCTTTTTGTAAAATTAATCGAAAACATTATATAAGGTCAAGCTCAATTAGAAATATCGTAGGTACTACTTCTGTCAAGAAAAATAGATTTGCCCCAAAACATACAGTGTCATTCATAAAGTCGGCATCATATGGGAAAAACTTTTATTAATGACTCATTTCTAAATTCGAGTTCGACAATAAGTTTTGCTTCAAAAAAGATGAAAAATGGCCTACTCAATCGGGGCCACGTGAATTTCGCTACATGTCAAAAGTGACATTTTTTCAAATTAATCGCTGAAAGTAGGCTTATTTGTTCGAATATCGAAAAAGTTTACTTGAAAAAGTTGTTTCTATTTAAATTTTACATATGTGACTCGGATTTTATCTTTCTATTACATTTTTTAGATTTCGATATTTTTTAAAAATTTTCGAAATTTCTGTAATAATAAAAAAATTGTGAATTCGATAAAACCACTTAATACCAGTAGCTTCATCATGCTACTCACTTTCAATTAATAATTATCACTAATAAATTATCGACAAAAATGTGATTTTTTCAGAAAATGATAATCTCCGCTTCAAAATTCAGTTATGCTTGATGCAAACATAACATCGAAATTCTGTTATGTTTGAGTCAAGCATTTAGAAACGAAATTCATTCAAATTCATTTTTTCAGTACTGAAAATATCAGTTTAAATGAATTTCGTTTCTAAATGCTTGACGATATATCAACTTTGCATCAAACATAACAGAATTTGGAAGCGGATAATATCATTTTCTGAAGAAAATCATATTTCTGACCATAATCAGTGATAATAAGTGATTGAAAGTGACTAGCATAAAAAGCTACTGGTATGAAGTAATTTCGTGGAATTAACAATTCTTCAAATATTACAGAAATTTTGAAAAATTAAAAAAAAAAATCAAAATCTAAAAGTTGCAATAGAAAGATCAAATTCGAGAAGCATGTGTGAAATTGAAATAGAAACAACTTTTTCAAGTAAACTTTATCGATATTCGAACAAATAAGCCTACTTCCAGCGATTAATTTGAAAAAATGCCACTTTTGACATGTAGCGGAAGTCACGTGACCCCGATTGAGTAGGCCATTTTGCATCATTTCTGAAGCAAAACTTAACGTCCAACTCGAATTTCAAAATAAGTCGTTGATAAAAGTTTTTCCCATATGATGCCGACTTTATGAATGACACTGTATAGGGGTCTAGGTACATCTAGAGTGTGTTTTACTTAAAGTGGCGAAGAATCGTTATTTGAAACATTTTTTAAAATATAGTAGGTAGGTAAGTACTACATCCCTGCAAATGCTATTATAAGATTGCAAAGAAGAACCCAAAATGAGGAAACTAAATTCGGCATGTTTTTATGAAAAACACAAATGTCTATTGATTTAGGCACATCGCAGTCATTTGGAACCCACAAATTCCAAGTTGCAACATCGTAACTCATACGTAGTTGAGAATAACAAATTAAAAAAAAATGCGGTTCACATAGTGTAAAATCAATCCGTTGACAATCTAATATGTGCAATACTCAGGGCACTCT